AATCTCAGCCGGCGAAAACGCGAGTTTTGTGTTTATTAAATCGCAGGGGGAGCACGCTTCGAAGTGGCCGGCACTGAATTCGCGTGTGGGTGCCCTGCGATGCGCTCCGTTCAGCGTTCAGACTGAGACTGCTGAGACTGAGGCCTGAAAACGAAACTTTCGACGGAAACTGCGTCGGCGGCGCCAAAAGCAGAGACGCCGACAGCGACGTCGGCGACATCGAGAGAATGCCAAGCTAAAATGCTACTGTTTTCCGCCTCTGATGAAACATTTTGGCTGATACTGATACTTTTGTTGCCGACACTGATGGAGTGCAAAATTCGAAATGCAATTAAAAGCATTGTTTGAAAGAATTCGAAATAGTAGATAACTTTTCAATGCAGACAGAGAGAGAGAGTTAAAATAAAACGAAAACTCGGTTTAGTAAACAGCTATCTCAACATTTTGTTAATCGAATTTTCGGTACACAAATTAAACGGTTTTGATTGACTTTCAGTTGAAGTAGTACATTTCAAGTCGCGAAATTGTATGGTAATTTAAAGAATTTAATAATAGATTGTGACTTAGCAAATAAAATTAAATATATTTTCAAGGAAGAGTCAGTCAGACTTTATTCAAAAGCGTATTTTAAGCCAGTTTGAATTTGTTTTGAGCACAATAATGCTGTTAATCTTATCATTTCGTTGTGAACATTAATATGATTTTATCTCTAATCTTTAATATAATCGGACCTACGATTAATCTACCTTTTATGCTACTGTCTTGGGTAGGTTTAAAAATTAAGTTTTCCTGATATTTGATAAATCACAGGTACTATAATCCAAACATTTTATTTTAAATTTTAAGTAATTTATATCTTTGTTAAAAACAAATATTTTATGGGTTATGGTCGTTGTGTTGTCTTGGGGAATCTTTTCTGAAAGCTATCTGAAAATAGAATCAGTAATGTGTCTTACTATTGTTAAATCATTTTCAATATGTTGCACTGTGTTTTCAGACTTCTTTCGACTCAAATCAAAGAGCAATTTCTTAGGGTGCAGGGCAATTTTCCGCTGCATGGCGTCCAGAGACTTCAGGTGCTTTTGACTTCTGCATTTCCCGGCTTTTCCCTGCAGTCGTCTTGGCTGCAAGCACTTGGCTATAAATAGGACCAACTGGAGACGAACCCAACGGGCAACACTTTCGTTTAACTTCTTGTGGGGCGCAACGGGGAGGAAAGTAGCAGAAATTAGTTCCCAGGCGGCTTTACAAGGCTTTGCCAAAGCAAAAGGGTGAGGCCACAAGTGTGGAAAAGGCGAAAAATTGGGTGGCGAGGGCGGCTAGTCAATGGACAACAACATGTGCCCCTGGTCCCACATGAGCTGTGCGGCAAGTTGGCCGTCTTAATTATTTATACGTAATAAAACTAAGCATAATTTTCCAGCAACAACTACGCACTGGTGCCTCATTCTAAATTCTATAAATAATTTGTAAAGCAGTTGATATAGTTGAATCGCAAAAGGCTCGAAAAGGCTCAAAGCCTAAAGCCGGAAAAACTAAAAACACATTCATACAAGTTGTTGGGGGGCAAAGAAAAAGAGAGAAAGGAAACATGAGAGCGTTGGCAGCGAAAGAGAGTGCTGCCAACGTCGACGGCGACGCCGGCAGCAGCGTCACATGCGGCGTATGCGTAATTTTGTCAGCCTTATCAGAAAGCCATTGCATGGAAAACTTTATTTTAAAGAGCCGGGCCATTTATCGAACTTGCAACGTGTTGTCTCCTGCGGTCCCAGCCACAGCCACCGATTGCCTTCCTCTTCCCCTTTGGCCACCCCTTTTGTTAGCCATTTCTGCCACAAGAGTCGCGTTGTTTGCACGCCGACTGGCCAAAGCCCGCCAATTGTTTATTCAAGCAGCATCGCAGCATCCCAGCTCATGTTGCCCATGTGCACTTGAACTGCCTTCGACCGAATCTCCTCCGTCCTCAGCCCGGCTTTGCCGGAATGCCTCTGCCTGTGCCTGTGCATTCATTTGGCCGGCGATGTGTTTGTCTGGCAATTTTTTTCCGTCTCCGGAGCCAGCCTCCGCCTAGAACACTGAGAGAAATAGCATCAAAAAGGTGAACGATTTAACATTTAACATTTTTTTAAGGTTCAATTTTAAACTGGGTTTTAATTATAAAATAATTTACTGATATGAAATAGACTTAAATGTTAAGAAAAGTGAATAAATATATAAAAACATATAAAACAAGTGAACTATGTGGGAAAAAACATCCTATTATGTCTTTTTTTAATCTTTTCCATATATTTTGTTTGGCATTTAATTATGAAAAAATTACAGGATATCAAAAAAATCTTAGGGAAACTTATTAAAATTAAAAAAAAAACCTTTAAAAACAATTTTTTTTTTATGTAAATCAATAACATCTTATATTGTCTTTTTTAATCTTCTCTGTATTTTAATCAAATCACATTTGCAATATATATTTTTCCCCGTGTAAAAAGCGCTCATTGCAGTTGTTATCGCCGCAGTTTGTTGTTGTCGCCGGGCTTAAGCGCCTCTTAGCGGCAGTGAATCAGTGGCCAAACGTGTAATCTGTTTAATGGCCAACTGACCGTGCATCGGGCCAACTGGTCCTTCACGCCCCTGAACCATTTCAGCCGGTCGCGTATACGCACCGTGAGCCGGACAAAGTCTTGGAATTTGCATAGATCTTTTTTCAAATACTTGTGTATGTTTTTTTTTTGGCGGCTCTATAAAATGGCCACCTGTTGAGTATGGCAAAACCGAAAAGAAACAGCAAAAATACCACTTGGACATTTGGGGCCAAACAAAAAACGTGAAAAATCGTTAAACAAAATAACCGCAACAAAAAACAAAGGTAATACTGAAAGCCAGCGCAAACTTGTTCAACTGCGATGAAACTGATTTGCATAAACCGCTAAAACGTAAGCTGAAACAAATAAACGTTTGCCATATCTCGGAGTAAACAACAATCAATAGAATCATTGCAGTCTTGGTTGATTTGATTTTTCAATTAGTCTCGGGGCCGAGATGGCTTCTTAAAACCCTTAATCTAAATCTCCGATCTCGACACTTTAGGAGATTTTTATTACACAAGCGAAACCTGGTCAACAAGCTTTATCATGACTCGTTTTGAACAGTTCCAGAATAAATGACCCAAAAATTCCATATTCGGAAAAAAGAACATGGCTAATTTACATAAATAACGATGTGAGTCGCCTTGACTTGTTATATTCCTAGCATTTTCTGATAGAAAATGATTTTTAAAATCATTTGCATATCAACAAATAGATAACAATCTGATTGCATCTTATAAGCACTATCATTTCCGTTTAAATCCTGGTAGACCAAATTTAATAGAGTGGCTTCCCTAGTCGCCGACTAAAAAATGTCTTCTCCTTTTTGGTTATTGTTAAATAAATGAATTCTAAACAGATCACCAATAAAACTTCACCAATATTTTCTTGGAAACGGCTAAACCTGCTCGCCAATTTTAATACCCAAGTTTATTATTTCGAGACCGTTTATAGATCAAATATAAAAGCGCCTAATAAGTGCTAAAAAGGTTGATGCTCCTATTATAGACTGTTAAACATTTAACTTGATTCGCATCGATTGGGATAATCCTATTCGTTTACCCTAATTAAGTATATTGTACGGCGCTTGAAGTTGCCGTCAGGAATTAAAATGGTTTAAAAGGTATTAACCAAAATGTTTAACAAAATCGAAATCCACATATGCGGCTTGACTAGTTATTGCATCGCCGTTATATCCGACGGAAACCAAATGAATCAGGACACGATACCTGAATGGTTCCCACATTTGTGGAATCAAATCCATTTTCGGCGCTGGCATGGTCATCGGTCATTTTCGATATACTTCGCCCCATTTAAAAAACTGGGAACAGTAATCACCACTGATAGATGGCGTTTAAAAAGGAAATTCACCCCTATTAGCAGTAAACGAAAATACTTGTAAAATATAAGACTCCGTCGATGGCGCTGTAAAATCACTTTTTAGCGCAAAATACCAACAGATGGAGCTAAAAAATAAATTTTCAGAGTAATTTGCCCACAGATGGTGGTACAGTTTTCGACCAATTATTTTGTTGGAAAACATAAAGGCAAAATAATGGAGAAAGAAAAAAAATGAATAAAAATAAAATAGTCGAAAATGGGATTATTTTTTTTCTAGCTTTTAAATTTAGCTATTTTTGGATTCCGCTGCGTCACCACTTATTTTTGTTTACTCTGTCAACCGAAAAAAGTGGAAAAATCCGAACTTTAAAAGTCCACAATAAATGGCAATAAGATTGCCTAAAACGGGATCTTTAGGCAATAAAATAAAATAATACAGGATTTTAGGCAATAAAATAGCCTGAAACGGGATTATTTGACAATAAAATAGCAGGGGGATTCCCTAAACTGTTGAATTGCTGAATTGTTGAAAATTCAACAAAAAATTTCAGCAATTAAGGGAACGACCCAAAATGGTTCCTGTTGAATTTTCAAACAGCTGTTATTTGTTGAAAAATTGCACGGAACTTAAAGCATGTAAAATTTGATTTATTATTGCTAGTTACTATCTAAAAGTGTTACCAAGGTAAAAAGAACCACAAATATGCTTTCAAAGTTTATTTTATTAAAATAAATAATGCGTACTGGTGATACTAAAATGTTACAGAGTTGCCACGACTTTTAAAAAAAGGTGACAACTCTGGCTTTTCAGCAATTCAACAAAATTTTCAACAGCCCCGAGGCTGATGAATTGCTGAAATTTCTGAAAGTTGGCTTTGTATGGAACAGCTGATTAACAGCTGACCAAAATTCAACAATTCAGCAATTCAACAGTTTAGGGAATTCCCTTAGCCTAAAACAGAATTTTAGGTTTATCACCTGATAATCGGGTACTTATCGATAGCTAACCTCACATAGTGTGACAAGACTATTAAAACTTTTAGTTCAAAATCACTCAATAAGAACCAGTTCAAAGATCTGAACCACTAGCTCGCCATCCCTGGAATGCAAAGTTTACCGAAAGTCGAACGCAATTGTTTATTAATTTAAAGAAATACCCGTCGGGTAAAAAACAACGATGAACAACAAGTGCTAAGCAATTGCCATCGTAAGCATACAGACAAACGCGTTGCCATTAAAATGGAAAACCACCAAGCGAAAGTGAATTAGGAAAACAAAACAAAGGTGATAAAGGTGCGATTATCTCGGTTAAGATAAAGCAGATACTAACTAACTGATATAGATTTTTGCAAAAAACCTTTGGAAAAGGGTTCAAGCCATGGGAAATTACACTTTTGGAGCTCCCAAAGGCGTTGTGGCGTCACAAAAACATCGTATGATGTTTCGGCCCTCTGATTGGTTGAAAGCGCTTACGCATGCTTTCCCGGGCGCGTGTGTGTGTGTAGTGCACAGTGGCTCGAAATATGTGTAAAAGCTGCAAGGATTGTGAAATAATTAAATGCACTGTTATTTTTTTCATGTCATTCAATTACTCTTTTTTTATTTACGTTTGTTTTTGATATAAGTTTTTAATTTGTTGTTTATGTTATTCGTATTACAAATCTATTATTTTAGTTATGAGTTAACGTAAAGAAATAGAATCTTTAAAAGCTTACTTTTAATTTTATAATAAGTAATACTAATAAAATATAATAATAATGACTGAAATTAAAGTGATTGTAAAATTTTCAAACTCTACAATTATAACAGCTAAAAAAATCACATTCGTCCCACTGTAGTTTTGGCATTGTAATTGCGCCGCTCAGAAATTTAATAAACAATCCCCATGTGAACAAACGTACGTGTACCGCCAGTAGTTAATTGCAAAACGTTCTTCTTGCTTTCATCAGCAGCACAAGAGATGGACGCGAATCCGATAAACTTCATTACCGATCCGCTGGACGAGTCCATGGATCTGTTCAAGGCGGAGGACGCCTTCGACATGATCAACGAGGTGCTGCACTCGGACATGCTGGACAGCTTCCTCAACGACATGGACCTGGAGCCTGCCCAGATGTACAACATGCTGCAGATGGACGAGCCGCGGGCACATCCCCAGACGCCGCCGTCCGTGGAGCAGCAGCCGCACGTGAAGAGCGAGCACTCCTCGCCGGTGCACATCAAGGAGGAGCTGCAGCAGCAGCAGCAGCAGCCGCAGCATTCGCCACTGCTCGTCTACAAGCCGGATCCCCTGATGGCCGCCAACTACAATCTCCCCCAGCAGCAACAGCAGCCCACGGCCACCATTCACCACATGGACGCCCAACGGCTGCCGGTTTATTCCCCCGCTTTGGCCAGCAGCTTTGTCTACCAGTCCACCATTTCCCCGCCCACGCCGCCGGCAGAGATGCAACCGATTGCCGCGGCAGCTGCTCCTCCGGTGGCCCTGCAACAGTCGCAACCCTTTATCATGTACACCCAGCCCATGGCCACGAGTCCTGGGATGATGACTCCAGCCGCAACCGTTCCCGTGCTGTTGGAATCCCCGACAACGACGACGACGACTTCTGTGGCCAGTCCGAAGACCTCGCCACCTGTAGCTCCACCGCCGAGCAGCGGAGGCAGCCGGGCCAGCAAGGTGCGAGTGGCACCCTCCCTGGCACCCTCTCCCGCCGCCATGGAGATCCAGGGCAAGGTGCCCATCAACCGGGTGCAGCCCAAGGTGAAGGAGGTGAAGCGCTCGGCGCACAATGCCATCGAGCGACGCTACCGCACCTCCATCAACGACAAGATCAACGAGCTGAAGAACCTGGTGGTGGGCGAACAGGCCAAGCTGAACAAATCCGCAGTGCTGCGAAAGTCCATTGACAAGATTCGGGATCTGCAGCGCCAGACGCACGATCTAAAGGCGGAACTGCAGCGTTTGCAGCGCGAGCTGATGGCCCGCGATGGGTCCAAGGTGAAGGATCTGCTGCAGCTGGGCAGCAGCCGGCCGGGAAGAGCCTCTAAGAAGCGTCGCGAGAGCTCGCTGACCTCCACCACGGATGCGGGATTGACGCCGCCGCGCAGCGATGTATCGGATCCCTCGCTCTCGCCCATGCACTCGGACATCTCGTTGCCGCCGTCGCCCTATGGCGGATCCACCGCCAGCTGCAGCAGCGGCAGCAGCAGCAATGAGGATGTGCTGGTGGTGCCCAGCTCCATGCGGGGAATGGCCACCCACTCTAGGCTGGGGCTCTGCATGTTTATGTTCGCCATCCTCGCCGTCAATCCCTTCAAGACGTTCCTCCAGCGCAGCGGACAGTATGGTAGTAATGATGACATTGGCGAACTGAGCGGTCAAAGACGCATTCTCTCTTACGACGTGGATGGGGGTAAGTTGGGCAGCCAGATATTCTATTCATTCTATTCTATAACCTACATTATTTGTTTCAGCTGAAGGCTTTGGCTGGCAACAAAGCACTTGGATATGGCTTTTGAACTTGACCCTGATGTTGGGCTGCCTGGTGAAGCTGCTGGTGTACGGCGATCCGCAGCTGGATGCTCAGACGGACGCTTATTGGCAGCACAAGCAGCGTGCCGAGAACCACTTTGCCCAGGGACAGTCGGCGCAGGCCTACGCCGGCTACCTCAACTGTTTGCACATGTTTGGACTAAGTCTGCCGGCGACGCGATTGGAGTGCTATCTGCAGACCACCTGGCAGTTCCTGCGCTTCCTCTTCCATCGCCTCTGGCTGGGCCGCGTGTTGTCACGTCGCACTGGCGGGCTGTTCAGCAATGCCGCTGGCAGGAAACAGGCGCTGGCCTCGGCACGCGAGCTGGCGCTGTTGTTCAATCGATTGAATCAACTCCAGCTGACCGGAAACGGAAGTCGCGGCGATGGGAATGGCATTATGATGGCCCTGTTCGCCAGCAACATGGCCGAAGTGGCCCACAATCTGCTGACGCCGCGCGAGACCATCTGCATCCATGTGATGACGGCGCTGCGAATGAAGCGTAGTGCTCCCAAGTGGCTGCAGCAGCTTTTCGCACGATACTACATGAGTCGGGCGCGCCAAGAATGCGGTCGCACGCGGGCTGCCGAGCAAACGCAGGAGTTGCGGTGGGCCTTCAGCGCCTACGGATATCGCTATTGCAGCACGCACGTCTTTAGCTACGATTTGAAGGACTCTGGCGAGCAGGATGGCTTCTTTACACGTTTGAGGAATCCCTGTGATCCCACCGCCCACGTCATAAAGGTGGGTTGCTCTCAAATATGTTATATATAGTATATACTTACTAATGTTTCTTATTCCTTAGCAATACCGCGAACATCTGCTGTTCAAGGCCATTCAGTGCTTGGTGGGCGCGGGCCACAAGTCGGCTGGTCTGCCCACTTCTTCAGCGGTCGGAGAGACGGATCAATTGCAGCAACAGCAGCACAGCGGGACTATCGTCAGCAATGTTCTCAAGTACACCTCGCTCTTGAGGGACACACTGTGGGCCGATGAGGATGAGCGCGACACGAATGTGGTGTGGTGGGCGAATATCCTGGAGATCGCAGTGCACTGGCTCCTTGGCGAGGATACGCTGGCCGAGCAGTTGTACGACAGCATCAAGCAGATGCCTGCACAGCTTGAGCAGTGCGGCGAAAACGATCATCTGCCCAGGGCACTGCATTCGGTACTTCGAGCCAAGATGATTCTACTAATGTGAGGGGAAAAATAACAAACCAATTTAAAGAATTAAATCTAATGATTGTAAATCCTTGCAGGAACAATGGAAACGCTCTGGACAAAGGCCTAAAGCACTCGGTCAACGTCTTGTGCGACGAGTCCAGTGTGCAGCTGCAGGAATGTCTGACCGTCAATAGGATCACCAATGCCAAGGGCATAAAGCTGGTAAGAAAGTCTGCAGCCCGATCAGGCAGCCAAACGGTGACCGAATGCCAGTTGACTCCTCATCCCAGAGATGACACGAAGGTGCATTGTAGTCGCATTGTCTGTCCCACTCGCTTCAGGCAATACAACTTCAGTGCAAGCTCCGAGCATTTCACAAACAACGCCGACAGTCGCTGGCAAAAGTCACCAAGTTTCAGTAACATACCTATATTAATTTTATTTATTCTTGCAGCTTTTCCAATTGCTCACCTGCGATTGGCTGCTTGAAACTCGCACCTCTTTGTGGGAACTTGAGCACATGAATATGGAAGATGATGGCTTCTACCAAGTGCCCGGCGAAGTGCTCGAGAAGTTCCAGACGGATTTGAATTCGTTGCGCAGCATTGTGGAGAACATACCGGTATGTTTTTGTTATTTCATTGTCATTGCATTTCATTTACAACTAAATCAACTTTACAGAACGCCCAGTCTCGGATATATTTGTACGAAGCTGTTTGTCGCCTGATGGCCGGAGCCTCGCCGTGTCCAACGCAACAGCTTTTGGACAGGAGTCTGCGATCGCGTTACGCCCACTCGTCCATCTTCTGCGGCAGCAAGGATCGGCGCCACCAGAATTTCGAGGGAGGAGAAAGGGAGCGCTCCATGGCCATGTACGTGGCCTGCAAGTATCTGCCGCCCGCGCTGCTCAGCTCCCCGGGTGAACGTGCTGGCATGCTGGCCGAGGCCGCCAAGACGCTGGAAAAGGTGGGCGACAAGCGGAAGCTGAAGGAATGCTACCAGCTGATGAAGTCACTGGGCAACGGCATAGGCAGCGTTAAGGCTTGAGATAGATTACCCTAAGTAAATATATCCCGGGATGGAATTGCCCTAATCTAGGCCTCTTTATTTCACGCTTTTCCTCTGATTTCCCGCCCCCGTCATGCTTAGATTGCAATTCAAAACTAATTAAGTAAATTAAAGTAAGTAAAGGTTAAACATATTTATATCAATAAATATTTCAACAGATTAACAATGCGTTTTACTGGCTGTGCATGCACTTAATTTGTTAAATAGTTAATGTATGGAAGCCCTACTATTATCGTGCGCACTTCCTTAATAAAATGGATTATTCATCGACTTCTCGACTCATTTTGCGTCAGCAAAGGGTCCGTTTGGTAATAAAACATTTTAGTCAGGTACTTTATAACAAAGGTGCGTTTAAAGTTGTATTATATTATTAAAGTTAATAATACTGAATTCCTATAAACATGAAACAGACAAACAACATTGCGTTAAAATGGCCATCTTATGGGTGCAGCCTAATTACTGGAGTACTATTCTTAGTTTTATCGGCAAGTTTTAATATTTTAAACCATGATATACGTTTTAATAATCTTAGTTAGCTCAGCAATATTTTACGGATTCACATGCCACTTGTATTTTGTGGCATCCTGCGTTTGATTTTCGTCTGGATACGGTTGAACCGCTTCCATTAATCATCTTGGACTCACAGAAATGGTTTAACCATTCTGCTGCAAAAGATGTTTACGATTACAAGGAAAAGCGAGATGAGTTTGAAGAGAAGGGAATCGAATACAACGACTGGATTCTAAGGCTGACTGTTGCCATAGAAATGTCACACTGTGAGGTGAGTTTTTTGGGTAAAAATATATTATAATCAGCCAAAGATGGTATCGCATTTGGAGTGGGTGTCAGGCTGACAGTGATCACAGGTGGTTCCATTAAAGGACACTCTCAAATGGTCATGATCCCTAAAAAGAGTTTTCAACTAAATTTTTTTTAAATGATAGAATGTCCATAATATGTATTTAGATTCAATACCTTTTCTTGAGTGTCCGGTAATACGTTAAAGTCAAGGGTAAGCAGGAGTTTACTTTTTGGATCCGATCGTATGTCTGGTAGTTTTGTCAGAAATCTATTTACCTCATTGATAGGCATCTTCCAACGTTTGCCCAATTTTAGGTGAATTAGCCTATCACATTTTCGTATTACAATTAAGAGCTGACGACTTGCGTTCGCCGGCGAGTCAATGCAATCCAGAGCCAGGCACTCGAGATTTGTTAACTGATCCAATTGTTCAACCGATTGAGCTGGCCAGTTGTCGCAATCCAGAGCTCTCAGTTGGCTCATTGCCAGGATGTGATGGACTTGGTCGCCTCTTACTCGAATCGATACGAGCTGTAACTTTTGCAGGTTATCAAGGTGTCTGGTCAGCGATCTATAGAACTCATTGTTCACTTCTCCTATCCATCGATTTATCAATCGCAGCGACTGGAGCGTTTTGTATTCGCCCAACTCGCGACAATTAAGGTCACAGTTTTCCAGAGTCAGGTGTTCCAGGTTCGGGAACTTGTCGGCCAACAGGGGCACCTGGTGCGATCTCCTTCGATCCCGTCCGAAGTTCAAGAACAGTCGCCTCAGGCTGACCTTGTTTTCAAACATCTGCTGGAAGGCGGGATCACTTAGGTTCGGATCGATTCCATCCAAGTCCAAGATCTGCAGCTTGGTGAAGTGTTTCAATTGATCTACTGTAAAGGAAAATAATATAATATAATATAATATAAGAGAGAACGCTATCGTCGGGTTGGTGTCCCGACTATCTAATAATCAGCTAAAGGGAGTGCAAGGGGGATAGATAAATAAACAATTTTGATTGCGTATAACTTTTTAATGAATGGTCCGATTCGAAAAATGTCTTCTACATTTCGATAGGTATAAATATACACAAACAAAATTGCATTTATACTTCTCGGAAATCTTTAAAGATGGGGGCGCAGGACACATTTTAAAATCGTTAGTGGGCGATTGTGGGCGTTAGAGTGGGCGTGGCGCTCGGCTGAAATAAACTTGCGCTGCGTAGGAAGCCCAAGAATATGTGTAGAAAATCTCAACCTTCTAGCTTTCGTAGTTTCCGAGATCTCAGCGTTCATACGGACGGTCATGGCTATATTGACTCGGCTAGTGACCCTGATCAAGAATATATATATTCTTTATGGGTCATAACTCTACGAGTAACGGGTATAATAAATAATATTCAAAATATTGTTTATAACACAGTGCAACATGAAAAATGTAACCGCAATTCTGATTTCATGGGCGGAAAGAACTCATCGAAATAAGCTAAAACCCATTTGGGTTTTCCTGGCTTAGCTCGCGTTTACCTTTTATAGCGAGATAAAGATTTACATACAAAATTTATTTGTAACGGCCATATCTTGTGAACCGATTAAAATTTCACTATCAAGTCTTCAGTGATTAGGTAGCTATGAACCCAAGGAACTAAATTGACAAATGACTCTGGCGCACTTAGCACCTAGTGCACCTAGCGCGTTAAAAAACAAATTTGCCTAATTTTTCGATTTTTAACGCGCTAGGTGTACGTCTTCGCAAGAGTCATTTGTCAATTTAATTCCTTGGGTTCATAGCTACATAATTACTGAAGACTTGATAGTGAAATTTTAATCGGTTCACAAGATATGGCCGTTACAAATAAATTTTGTATGTAAAACTTTAACTCGCTATAATAGGTAAACGCGAGCTAAGACAGAGAAACCCAAATGGGTTTTAGCTTATTTCGATGAGATCTTTCCGCCCATGAAATCAGAATTGCGGTTACATTTTATAACCCTAAAAATGTTGCACAGTGTAATCTTGTGAGAGGGAGCTTCCTAATTATACTTACGCTGTGCAGACCTGGAATCGATCAGTGTGAGATCGGTGAGATTGGGCAGCTCCAGGAGGAGCCTCATGATGTGGCCCCTGTCCCCCGTTTCCGGCGGCGTCTCTGTGTCGGCGTGTATGAATATAATAACAGCCTGTCGAAGATTGGGGCAGTGGCGTCCGAGAAGGTCCAGGAAGGAGTAGGAGAAGGGCTCGTCCCAGCGACCGTGGGGCACTTCACACCTGGAGACTTCGGAACCGCACAGCTGCAACAGGAACTCCCAGTCCGGAATGGTTTTTAGGATTCGCACATTGATTTTTCCGTAGCGCGTTCGCACCAAGTCCTTTAGGACCTCCCTGAAAACTGGATGGGCGCGGCCAAGATTTAGTTGATCTTCCAGAGTCAAATATGAAAATATCTCCAGGAAAATATCGTAGTTGAGATCCAGGAAGCAGGGTCCGCCCTTTAATTCCTGCTGTTTTCCGCCCAGAAACGCAAAGGGACATCCCAATCCTAGTTTGTCCATTCTGATTTAATTATTTCTAGCCGGCTCTGATTTAAATTTAATATTAACACTAGGAACTAAATATTTTCCGTATTATTCACGGCGATAGCTTATCTTTTACTTGATTTGGTATCGATAACAACGGAGCAGCTGACGATACATTTAGCGCGGTAGTATTTTCCGGGAATTCCCCTATTTTTAAATAACAGTACTAACTTAATAGATCTGGACCTATAAAAATAATTAATTATTTTTTTTATCATACAATGTACATATTTACAATAGGCTATGTTATAATACATTCTAATGTTGCATATCACTCATGCGCCCTGTTGTCTGTTATAGAATTATTCATATGGAATTGACTTAATCTCTCTTGTTTTTATTTAAGACATTTTTAGTGTTTCAGGAGCATATTCCCGAGTTTGCCAGTGCTTTTTATCATGCCAGTATCTACTCCATTTGGCGATCCCTGCAAAATCGGTTTCTTTTTGTGTACACTGAAGAGCTGGTAGAAGGAAATGATGACTATTTGTGTGGATATATATTTCAAGGTTGGAAATATTCAGTAACTAAAATGCAACGACTTTAACACAATAAACTTTCAGATCAGCCTAATATACTATTAGTTACCTCACAATATCTTAATTCAAGCACTTTTGATATTAAAACTAACCGATTTGTGGGACCGCGAAACTTTGATACAAAACCGGCACCTGTAGAATTTGAACTTCTTCAGCGGTACGATGCCGAAAGCGATGAGAATATTTGGGATGTTGGGATGTTGTCCGTTAAGATGCAAAACCTCATGGGACGCGAGGTAGTCATAGGCATCTTTGACTATAAACCTTTTATGTTATTGGATTATGTAAGTTAGAAGTTTTTTGTTAAAAATATTATCAAATAATTTAATTTTTCCCAGGAAAAAACTCCGTTTTATTATGATCGCTCGCAGAACACAACAGAAGTAACAATCGATGGAACAGACATTCGTTTAATGCTCATTTTTTGCGAGCTGTACAACTGCACCATCCAGGTGGACACATGTTGGTGATAAAATATAGCTTAATTTAACCAATTAAAAAAAATTTTTAATCTATTCACAGCGGAAACAACTGACTGGGGTGATATCTACCCCAATGCCTCGGGATATGGTCTCGTGGGAATGGTACTCGATAGACGTAACGACTACGGAGTTGGCGGCATGTACCTATGGTAATTTTCTTGGTTCTTAAAGTTCTAATCTAGAGTTTTAAAATTCGATTTCCTTTACCAGGTACGAGGCATATCAGCATATGGACATGACCCATTTTCTCGGTAGATCTGGTGTAACCTGCCTAGTTCCCGCTCCGAATCGCCTGATCAGCTGGACCCTCCTCCTCCGACCATTCCAGACCGCCCTCTGGATGTGCGTCATGTGCTGTTTGCTGCTCGAGAGCTTGGCCCTATGTGTGACCCGTCGCTGGGAGCACTCCTCGGATTGCTGCTCCAATTCCTGGCTAGACAGTCTTCGTTTCGGTTGCATTAGTACACTGAAACTCTTCGTGAGCCAGGGCACCAGCTATGTGACTAGTTCTTATGCTCTTAGAACTGTGCTGGTGGCCAGCTACATGATCGACATTATCTTGACCACCGTCTACAGCGGAGGTTTGGCGGCCATTCTCACTTTACCCACCCTGGAGGAGGCGGCTGATTCTCGGCAACGCCTCTACGATCATAAGCTGATTTGGACAGGCACTTCGCAGGCCTGGATTACCACCATCGACGAGCGGTCAGCGGATGTTAGTAGAAAAAAATCTGGAAAAATATTTATCAGTTTTAAATCTAATTTTCTTACAGCCAGTCCTCCTTGGATTGATGGAGCATTACCGAGTATTCGATGCCGCTTCAATAGCCGCCTTCTCGCACACGGAGCAAATGGGATTTGTAGTGGAACGGATGCAGTTTGGGCATTTGGGAAACACCGAGCTTATCGCAAACGACGCCTTGAATCGACTGAAGCTCATGGTGGATGACATTTACTTCGCCTTTACGGTGGCTTTTGTGCCTCGTTTGTGGCCCCATTTAAATGCCTATAACGACTTCATCCTGGCCTGGCACTCCTCGGGCTTTGATAAGTTCTGGGAGTGGAAAATCGCCGCCGATTACATGAACGCTCACCGTCAAAATCGCATTGAGGCCTCCCAGAGACCGAACCTAGATATTGGACCCGTTAAACTCGGAATCGACAACTTTATTGGCTTAATCCTGCTTTGGTGCTTCGGCATGATCTGCAGCCTCCTTACATTCGCCATAGAATTGTGGAAAGGTCAAGATCAGTCTGTACTTTAAATATTTTTAATTTTCTTCAACATAAAATAAAATAGAGTTCTGAAAAATGAATATTTAAAAATGTATCATCGATAGCCTAGCTAAATTCTTTTCATTCTTAGCTTTGAGCTTAGTTAACCCAGTATTTGAACCTCGAGAGTACTTGGAATAGAGTATTTTAGCCTAATTATTGCTACTCAAGTGGAGCACCTGATCGGTGACGCGAGTAATTAGTGGATCCAGCTCATTGTCACCCAATTCCTTGCTCCACAGATCATACAGGGTATCGGTGGCCAGCTTTACAGAGTTGCTGACGGCCGTTGTGTTGAATGTGCGGAGTGTTAGGAAGATGACAGCATCCTCCACGAGGGGACTGTAGGTATCGCAGATAGTGTGCAGAGCACGGGCTCCACTCGGCGCAATCTGTGGATTAAAAGGGTCTTTATTATATTGTTAAACTTTATATAGGAGGCACTCACATCATTGAGGTTTACTATTAGAAAAACCTTTCCCTCCTTCACATTTGCCTTGAACCGCTCAATCGCCAAACCGTAGTCTTTCATATCCGGCCCGAAGTCCTCCTTTTTCATGTGAATCAACTGGCGAGGACTACCTGTTGAAATAGATAATATTATAGAATTAAATTTAATATATTTTCTAAGCTTAATTTAGTAGCTAACTTGCCGAAACAAACGGAAGCCTCGACGGCGATAGCATCAATCAATTTCTGAAGCTTGGGATCCTGATGCAGAAACAGGAACACACTGGGATGCTTGTCCTTCTTGTTTATCAGTCCTTCGACGCCCTTTTGAAGGGCTTTCCACACTTTCTCCGGCTGTTGGGGCTGATTTTTCCGAAGACTATTGAAGGCACATTGTTTTTCACCTATAACGCTTGATCCCCAAACGTAGACGAAAAATAAACCGAAAAGTACACCAGCAAGGGCTAATTTAATGTAGAGACCATTTGTTCCCTGGGGCTCGTTGATCGTAGGGTGGTGTTCCTGCTTTGAGCTCGGTCTGGGAGTGGGAATACTGCTCCTTCTGGACAGATCGCCGACCTCCTCCTGGGTGTCACTCTCCTCCAGTTCGCCGGCTGATGAGGTGCCTTCCTCGTAGCTGTTAGCAGACTCCAAAATCAAGGTATTGTTCTGGTCCACCTCGTCCCTCGATAGGGAAGGAGTCCTGGGCGTGTCGTCGTGCAGGGCTCGCCTCCTTAGTTCACTCATATTTTCCGAAATTAAAGAAATAAATAAAATACAAATGTAACAAAGAAAAGCTCAAAATAGGGATGGCAAATGATATCGAAAGAACTAAAGCCTATCGATAGTTCCTGAAATTACTATTTTAAAAATCAGAGCATGATTTTAAAAATTGTATTGTTTTATATCCGAGACCTTGGGATACACTAATAAATACAGTATGTACAAAGTATATAAGATTAGCTTAAACGAAGATCCTGCCTAATTTTTCTGCTCCGCCGTTGGCACCGTGTTCAATGTCAGACGACGAAGTCTGCCCAGGACGAGGATTTCGTCTATAGCTTTTTTGGCGTAGAACTTCTGGTCCTCGGTGAGTTTGCGGTATTCTAGACTCCAGGTCTGTGCGTAGATATTAGACTCCTCGGCCCCGCTGACATCGAGCGGGATATCGGAAATGTCCGGCAGTTTGGCTGGAGCTGGAACTAGGGTAGAGTCCCCGCCAAAGGCGGCAACATCGGCGACATTGGGCTTCATTTCGATATCATCCGACATGGACTGCTGGTCCTCCTGCTCCTCACTGGCATCCGGCTCCTCCTTCCTGTCGGTGGATTCGCTTCCAGAATTGTAGCCGTAGAAGGCCTCCTTCTTGAGATACTGCAGGTGGCACCGGTGGCGCCTCAGGTTCGTCGTGGACTTGTGGGTGAAGGACATAATGCCCTTGCAGCCAATGCAGTATAGAACGTTCTCCAGGAAACTGCCGTCGTCCTTCTGGATCTTGCGATACACCCGCCACACAGTGCTGCGAGTGCTTTTGTCATTCACGGCCAGTTTGTAGACGCCATTCTTGATTTTTTCGTGAATATCCTCGGATTTGAGCGGCATCCTGGATTATGTTTTTATTTTGGTTCGGATCACCTCCCCAATAATTTAGCGATGAGCGCAGGTGTCACCCGCAATCGATAGTAGCTGCCCGATAGCAGCCCGCAGGTGGCAACGCTGGCCAGTGCACATTGCGCCGGCAATTTACATATAGCATTTTGTTTTTATTGTTTTTAAAAAGTTTTTACTAGTTTTCATAGCTGTTTATTATGGCGGCTTTGTGCTTAGACTTTCTCGGCTTCCAGGTGGGTTTGAAGTAGTGGTTATAGGAGTTTTTAGCTGGCATACTTCACGGTTTCAAGTTCCCAAACAGGAGGCGCTGAAGAAGATGAGAGATGTGGACGACAAGATCATATATGCACTAAACGCCCTGCCCACGGAGTCGTTCAAGGGTCAGGTGAACAGCGAGAGCACCTGTCGCGATCTGTATTCAAAGCTCCAGCAGTCGCACCTCTCCCGGGTAATTCCAGATTAAAAATCCCCCCTGCAGATCTCACCAAACTTAATGCCTCCTTTGCAGCAAGATAGCATTCGCAGTTGCATAACCATTTCGGCAAATAATCTGAAGCAGCTGCGGGAGAAGCGGGAAGCCCAGCCGGATGATGTGGATACGGACAGCCAGTTCAAGGCGGAGCAGCGCAAGGTAGAATCCTGGTTTTAAAAATTGTCCTTTGCTAATCCTCGAAATCCTTTCCAGCTGCGCGTCCTTCAGGCCGAGCTCAATGTGGAGGACATCATCAAGGAGCGCACCTACAAGACCTTCAACGAGCGATGCCGATCCTATTTTCACGCCGGCCAGTAGGTGCCATGAAATGCAATAACTAGTTTTAGGTGGATTTATTAGTGGTAGACTCAAGGAACTGCCCAACCAGGAGGCATTTACATGCACTCGGTTGTATCACAAGTTATTTACAACAAGTACATGAAGACTACACTCAAAAGAAATCCCGTTTATTCGTCATTGGGCAGGTTGTAGGAGGCATAAACTGATCGGATGGAAACGCCTTTGAGGGTCGCCAAGGCTCCCAGGACCAGTTGCGTGGCATCCTTCAGGTCGTTGTACTCGTGCATCAGCTCGATGATCTTCTTTTTATCGGATTCCGAGGTCTCTTTGGGCTTATTGGCCTTTTTGCGGGGTTTTTTCTTGGAATTTTTCTCCTTCATATTTAAATTGCAATTGGATTGGAATGACTGCTATCGGTGGCTACTGCTATCGATAACGCATCAGCTGTGTGCACACTGCACTCCGGACAGTCTGGCAACTGCGTTCCTCAAAACGTGTAAATTTCTCGGTCTCTTTTGCATGATTAAAACGCGGAAAGGATTTTTCGGAACAGGTAAGTTGTACTCCACTTACGTGGCGGCGGGTCCTGTAATCCGGGAGTTGTGGTGGCCCCCTGGAAGGGCGTATCCGGGACATGGAGGAATTCCTAATGCTGACCTAAGCCCGCACCCATACACACGCACGCAAAGCAGCCGTGTGCACACCCCAGCGGGAATGTGAGAAGTTGGTTTTTGTGTTCCTGAAATCCTGTTCCTTTTTGCAGGCGGCGGTGTAGGGATAGATAATTTCTGAGCGCTAAATGAGGGTGGGTTTCTGAGAAGCATCAATATCAGGCCACTTATGCGCTGTGTGATTTCTGTGGCACCACGATTATAATATTTTTTAACAAAAAAAAGACCAACTTATAATATTCAAAAATCCTATGATTTACACCAAAACCAAAAGACTTGTTCTCACATTTAGTTTTAATTTTTAGTAATTTTAAAAGTCGTAGAAAAAATATTAATAATTGTTAATCAAAAAAATTAAACTATATAGCATTATTATCATAATGTCTATAATGATAATATTAATTTATTTTACTCAACATTTTTCAAATAATAATAAGGATGAATGTGGGATTCAACCAAATTATAGAGAAAAGCCACGGTAAGACGATTAAAATATTTGATCACATTTATCAAGGAATTACATTAAATTACAAAGAAAACTATTGTTGTTTTTTACATTTTTAAACATTTTCTGTGAAATAAAATAATTTGATCGTCAGATCGTGGCCTAAGCCATTTTTAAGTGTTGTTAAAATATAAAAATTCGTGTTGGTGGTATTGATAACACGAAAAATGCCTAATACACCTATAATATACGTAACCTTAAATGATTACGGTCCCTGAAAAGTATTTTTTAAACGAAATACTTATTCGGCGCCAAAGTGTGACCGGACTTTACAACGAAATTTATATCAAATCTGCATTTTAGTATTATCAAGTATATGATGCAGGGTCACATCATTTTTAAATTTGTTGGAAAAAGTGAAAAAAAAGTGAAAATAGTTAATTTTAATCTAAAAAACAATAAAAAGGTGAGTGATAAAATGAATTTTGTTTTTTTATAACCTTTATTTCAGCGTTACAAAGGTTAGTATCACAGATATTTTCGCCATTAATAAATATACGCCTCCGGATGCTATCTTCAACACAAATTCTGCAGTTCAGTGACACTTGAAATGTTTTTAATCTTTACCAGTGGTAAATGGTGTGAGGTGTTCATTAAATGGTTGTGTAAATAGTACTTCAGTACTAACTTAGTTGTTTAACTTAATCAAAATATTACATTTATTTCAGCCAGGCCGACTGAGACTTCTTGGGACCAGAAGTGTTGCGCCTGCGTTTGTCATATTTTATTTTTTCTTCTCATAGTTTTTGATATAGATACCCGACATAAAACAACTGAACAGAGGGTAAATGATCGGCCATGGCAAACCAGGCATAATTTCTGGAGAGATCCTTTAATTTTGTGCGGAGACCTAATAATGGTAATTACTCTTATTATTACTCATGGTCTTACATTCATATCTAAATTATTTTTGATATTTTCAGAAAACAGACAAGAAATGGATATCTAAGAACTGCATTCGGCCAAGCAAAACCCGGGAATGCTTCAGGCATTAAAAATTTGTAGTTCCAATGCTTCGATTGTAAATATTATTAATAATTACACAAACAAATATTACAAAAAACATGATTTTTATTGTGGAAAATCAGATACTGCAAAGCAGTGCAAAACCAAAACTGCGAGGGTCTGGAAAAACCAAAACTGGGAGGGTGTAGAAAAGCAGATATTGCAAGTGGAGGAAAACCATAACTGGGTACGTGTGGAAAATCTATAATGCGGGAAGTCGAAAAACCAGTGGATTTTGTCCTGCATTCTTCTGCCAGAGATCCAGATAGAAACCTCATTTCCCCCTTACTTTTTGTGTCACCCCCGTGTATTTTGAAACCAGAGATGGAAGAAATGTAAGGGGTGAATGAGGTTTAGTCCCTTCCGCTTCTATGGAGAAACCTCTTGAAAATATGTTATTTTCCAGAGGAATTTTCCCGGTGGGGTACACAATGAAATGTGAAAGTGTTGTGATTGTGCATTTTGCCAGGAAAACTGAATAGTTCATTAAATATTATATGTAAAATACTGGGCATACAACGTAATCTTTCCCAGAGATGTAGGATTACTCAAGTGCAGGCGCTCAGCGAGTGTTCAGTGGGGTTTCAGAAATCCAGTTTTGGGATTGGATGAGAATATCGGAGAAAACCCAGTCATGATTTTTCACTTTCCAAACGAATTTTTCCCACTCCATAACGACTAATAACCATAGTTTTGGATATTAAATTATTTCTTATTTTATCTACTTATATTTCGGGTTATTATCAGATTTTTAAACACCAAGAATAACAAGGTTTTTGGGAGGTTCCAGAGAGAACCAAATTTTGGAGAAAACAAGCCCTGAAATTTTATTCTAATTTTTCTCACTCCATAACGACCAATAACCATAGTTTTGGATATTAATTTATTTCTTATTTCATCTACTTATATTTTGGGGTATTATCAGATTTTTGATTACCAAGAACAACAAGGTTTTCGGGGGGTTCCAGAAAGAACAAAATTTTGTAGAAAACAAGCCCTGAAAAATCATTCTAGTGATTATCAATCAGAAGTTCGCAAGTCATAAATTTTTTTTTTTTGTGGAAAATTTTCAGCTTTCAAAGTGCCAAGACGACGACATGTCCGCCACCCACAAGCAGCGCTATAAAAATGCCGCCTTGGACTCCACGGAGATGCGGCGACGTCGCGAGGAAGTGGGCATCCAGTTGCGGAAGAACAAGCGGGAGCAGCAGCTCTTCAAGCGGCGCAATGTGGTCCTGGAGCCGGCCACCTCCTCGACTTCGGCCGGCATGGAGAGCAGCACCAGCAACGAGCTGCAGGTGGGTCTTCAGCCATTTTATATATCATTTTAGATCTTTCTAATCCCGAATCCTTTTGCAGACTGCCGACATGCACATGGCGGACAGCAGCACTGGACCAACGCATTTCCCAGGCGGACAGAACGAAACGGCAACCGGAACCGGTGCTCAGGTGTCCGTAATCAACGAGGAAATGATCCAGATGCTTTACAGTGGACGCGAAAGCGACCAGCTGGAGGCCACGCAAAAGTTCCGCAAACTGCTGTCCCGCGATCCCAATCCGCCCATCGAGGAGGTCATCCAGAAGGGGATTGTGCCGCAGTTTGTCACCTTTCTGCGGAACAGCTCGAATGCCACGCTGCAGTTCGAGGCCGCCTGGACGCTGACTAACATTGCCTCCGGCACCTCGCACCAAACGAAGATCGTCATCGAGGCCGGGGCAGTGCCCATTTTCATTGAGCTGCTCTCCAGTCCCCATGACGATGTGCAGGAGCAGGCTGTCTGGGCCCTGGGCAACATAGCCGGCGATTCACCCGTTTGCCGCGACCATCTGCTCGGCTCAGGCATTCTAATGCCTCTTCTGCAGTGAGTAATGCAAGAGTTTTGCCCCTAAAACTTTTCTGATATTTTCTTGGACCTTTTGCAGCGTCTTGAGCAACTCGGAGCGCATTACCATGATACGGAATGCCGTGTGGACGCTTTCAAATCTCTGCCGCGGCAAGAATCCACCCGCGGACTTTGCCAAAATTGTCCATGGCCTGCCCATATTGGCACGGTTACTGGACTACACCGATGCGGACGTGCTCAGCGATACTTGCTGGGCCATTAGCTACCTGTCGGATGGACCCAACGATAAAATCCAGGCTGTAATTGATGCGGGCGTTTGTCGTCGCTTGGTGGAGCTGCTACTGTAAGGAGTGCTCTTTATGCATTGAAATTTACCCGAATAACCATTACCTTTTTCGACATTTACAGACATCCCCAGCACAATGTAAGCACAGCCGCATTGCGCGCAGTGGGCAACATTGTGACCGGCGACGATCAGCAGACCCAGGTGATACTGGGCTTCAACGCCCTGCCCTGCATTAGCCACCTGCTGCGCTCGACGGCGGAAACGATCAAGAAGGAGTCCTGCTGGACCATCTCGAATATTGCAGCTGGCAATCGGGAGCAGATCCAGGCCATCATAAATGCCAACATATTCCCGCAGCTGATGATTATCATGCAGACGGCCGAGTTCAAAACGCGAAAGGAGGCAGCTTGGGCCATTACCAATGCCACGAGCAGCGGAACGTCTGAGCAGATTAACTACTTGGTTAAGGTGGGCTGCGTGCCGCCAATGTGCGATTTCCTCACCGTCGTCGATTCGGATATTGTCCAGGTGGCACTGAATGCCTTGGAAAACATCTTGAAGGCGGGTGAAAAGTTTCAGGCGCGACCAAATCCCTATGCCATTACCATCGAGGAATGCGGAGGTAAGTTAAATTACTATATATTTATTATAATTATATTAAACAATCCCCACTTTAGGTCTGGACAAGATCGAGTATCTGCAGGCGCACGAAAACCGCGACATCTACCACAAATCGTTTTACATCATTGAACAGTACTTTGGCAACGAGGAGGAGGACAGCCGGGTGGCCCCCGTGGCGGGCAGTCAACAGTTCGAGTTCGATCCGGACAACATGCCCAGCACAGGCTTCAACTTTTAGCACCATAACGGGCAGGACTATACTATCAACAAAATGCGAATCCTTCTAAAACCCTGAGCACACAACACACACACTGCAGGAAGCGCAGAATTGCCTGACAGGATTTAAACGGAGGCCAGAGCACGAGAAGGCAACCAATGCCTAAGTGCAGTCACTACTAGCATTTAAGTAAAGTTGGTCATTCTGTCGGCTCGTTATCCTTTTTCTTTTTCACACATACTCGTCTGCATATATATTTTCTGCGCTTAAAACTATTATTTTCGAAGTGGTCCAGGACCAAAATCATCATGACCTTACTCGAGCATTTCTCCAGCTGGAAAGCGGGATCGCTTTCACCTAGTTCGTATGTACTAATTTAATATGTTATACAACCCATTGTATATGTTTTTGCTTTCCTCAGATTGAGTTTGTAAATATTTTTCATTAAGCCCAATTACGTTGAGACCTTGACATGGTGTTGTTATGCATTCATACAAACAAACGATATTGATAAAACGAATAACTTAAAATGTTTTTATTTGATTTTGTTACGCAAATTGCCGAATGTAAATTTGATTAAATTATAAAGCATTGTAACTTAATTTAGAGGACACATCAATAAAGAACAACTAGACCACAACTATCCAGGAAACCATAAATCCTTATAAGCATTTCTTTAAACCGAATCTAAAAATTTATTTTCAAAATTTCTTATCGGGGGGTTTTTCTGTGTTTTTCACATCCCCATATTAAATTTAATTTTCGGAATTCTTGAAAAAAAAATCAAAGGGTAAGGGATATAGCACCATTTTCTCGGCCACCAACTAAACACCAAAATGTATAACATAATTATGGACACCAAACATGTATTTAGTTTAGTGTTGGGTTGCTCATGAGTGACTGAAGAAAAAAGAATTGCTCACTAAACTGAGTGAGTGAAGATGTTCCTTCGAACTTGTTCTTTATTGTTCACTTGTTCATTTTTGTTCACTTGCTCCTCTTTGTTCACTTGTTCAGTTTTGCTCTCTTACTTGCTCTTTTTTGTTCACTTGTTCATTTTGGCTCTCTTATTTGATCTTTTTAGTTCACTCGCTCAAGTGAACAAGTGAGCAAGTGAACATACATATGAACAAATTGAGTGAGTTGTCTCATTGGGAAAAAAAGAACAAGTGAACAGTTCACCCAAATGAGCAGATTTTACCCAACACTAATTTAGTTGCGCTTAACGAACTGCACCTTGTAAGGTTTTGGAGTGAGCGTGATCCCTGGGAGAAGTACCATCGATGGAGTCTCGCCCGCCGGCAGGACGATGCTAAAATGCTGCACGATCCGCACCAGAAACGAGAAAATACAGGCGCGGGCAAGGGCATCGCCCAGGCAACGACGTCTGCCCATTCCGAAGGGCATGAAGTACTCGTCCTTGAAGCACTTGCCAGCCGGATCGATGAACCTCTCCGGCCGGAACTCCAAGGGATCCTTCCAGTGCTCCTTATCCAAATGCACGGAACGCAGGCTGATCAGAATGGTGGCATTCTGGGGAATGTCGTAGCCACCCAGCTTGGTGGCCCACAAAGCCCGCCGTGGACCCGTGATGGGTGTGATGTGAAAGAAGCGCTGCACCTCCATGATGAAGGCATCCATGTAGTCGAAGGACTCTCGCCGGCTCAGGTGAGGGAATGCATCCGAGCTGGCTGCAGCCACACTGGCGGTCACCTCGGCGAAGAGCTTCTCCTGGACATCGGGCCGCATGGCCAGGACCATTAAAGCCAGATTGATGGTGTTGCTGGTGGTCTGGGAACCGGCAATGAAGAAATCCAGGATGGTCATCACCAGCTGCGTCTCGTTGAAGCTGCCGCTGCTCTCGCCGCCGGCACTTCGATCCTTCATCTCCTGGAGGTAGGCGAAAACCAGATCGCTCTCCGCCTGCGACGGATCCTTGGCCAGCTGCCGTCGGTGCTCCTCGATGGTGTCCATGAAGAAGCCGTACAGCTCCGTATTCAGTTGCTGGATGAGATTGTAGCCCGTGCGATCGGGGGCGATGTGGCGCAGCCAGGGAAACTGGGCCAGCAGACCGCCACAGATGTCGAAGAGCTTGGAGCGCCGGTTCATCAGGTCGAGCAGACGACGCAGCGTGCCATCCTCCTGGCTGGCGATCCGCTTGCCGGCTATCAGACACCACAGCACATTGAGCACACTCTGCGCCAGCCAGGTGACCGGCTCGATTGGCTGCTCCTCCGTGCCCTCCAGTTGGCCCAGCAGCTCCTCCGCCTCCAGTTCGATGTGCTGCTCCATCTGGCTGCGTCCATAGCCCACGTGGCGCATCTGCTTCATGGCGAAGTGGCGGTGCTCGTACCAAAGCTGGCCATCCGTGCAGGTGATTCCCTTCCGGGTTCCCATGGTCCGGAGGCGCAGGAAGAAGTTGTCGGGCCGTCCCTCGAACACCTCCTGCAGCTGCACCTCCTTGACCATCTCGTGGCCGGAAGCCACCACCACGTACTCGCTGCCCAGTTTCAGGCCAACCAGGTCACTCCGGAAGTACTTCGCCCACCGCTCGAACAGGATGTGCTGGCCGCCAACGGCACGGGCTTCCTTGCGGAACTGCCGGAAAAATTAAGGTATTAATAATAACCAGGGACCGTAACTGTTATAAGTTTTATTTTTGAAAAGTAAAACTCAAGGAATAACTGTTATTTTTTGAGTTTTATAATAAAAGTTGCAAATAACAGTTATTCGTCCTGATCAAAAATAAAACTCAAACATAATTTATAACGATTTTGTGGGTAAAATAAATTTAAAAAAAAATATAGTTATAAAATATGCGCGGTTGCCTTTTTTAACAAATTTGTAGTAAGTTTTATAAAACATGGTTAGCATGTTTTTTTTAATTATTTAATTTTTTTTTTAAATGTCAAGGGAATAACTGTTATTCATAAAAATCAACAAATAACAGTTATTTTTTGAGTTTTATTATAAAAGTCATTACGAATTTGTAAACTTCAATGGCAAATAAAAATAGTGGTGTATTTAAAAAAATTTTATGACCCTTCTACATAAGTGCGTGATTTTTTTTGTAAGAAAAATGTACAATAACAGTTATTTTCGGTCCCTGATAATAACGCAACAATTTACCAATTTCTAAAAAGAGCAATCCTATTCTCACCCTTTTGGATGGTAGATTAAAGATTAAAGCAAAAAATGTATTTGAAAACTAAAAATATTTCTGCTGTAAGATAAGTTCCCTTACAATTAAAAACTCCAAAGTTCCATTAAAAATTAATCTTTTTACATGAATGCCAATGTATTTGGTCATTGATTAAACTTTAATCATTACGGCAACAGTGCGAATGAGTGATAAACTTTAAAGCCAATTCTATACAAATTGGGACCTTCCTATTCTACAATAGTTATACATGCTTGGCGTAGATTTTTATTTTATTACATGAATGCCAATATATTTGATCATTGATTAAACTTTAATCATTAACGGCAACAGTGCGAATGAGTGATAAACATTAAAGCCAATTCCATAGAAATGTGGACCTTCCTATTCTACAATGGTTATAAATGCTTGGCGTAGATTGCTATTTCTTAATATGAAAATAAATAAAATATATTATAATAAATATAAATTCTCCAAAATTTAATTTTTCTCATAAAGATTATAGATAAATTATCTTAGTTTTAATTATGTATTATACTTATTATACTCATTATATAACATACCTGTAAAGAGTTCCCCAGCCATGGCAGAAAACGAGGTCCTGTTTTGGTAAAGAAATTAAAAATACGTAATTTTAAAAATAAATTAAAAAAGTCTTTGGGATATAACTTGAAAGTTAACTCAGTTGCTAATAGGATTTCAAAAGGCATAATACTGCAAATTGAACTTAGTTGTTTATACCTACTGCTAATCTAATCGGCTGCACAGAAATCTGTTAGCCTATAAATCACCGAATCGAAAGTGAAAACTCTATCTTGAAATCAAACAACTTAGTTATTAACAATAACTATCAATATGCCACATGTGCGTCGATCTCGTAACTTTAATGCATTTCACAACGAACATATTTTACCTATTTAGATAATAAACAAGAGAGAACGCTATAGTCGGGTTGTTGTCCCGACTATCTAATACCCGTCACTCAGCTAAAGGGAGTGCGAACGCTGTGTCGGGTTGGTGTCCCGACTAATAATCGTAACTCAGCTAAAGGGAGTGCGAGGGAGATAGATATATAATTTTTGATTGCGTATAACTTTTTAATGAATGGTCCGATTTGAAAAATGTCTTCTACATTTCGATAGGTATAAATATACACAACAAAATTGCATTTATACTTCTCGGAAATCTTTAAAGATGTGGGCGCAGGACCCATTTTAAAATCGTTAGTGGGCGATTGTGGGCGTTAGAGGGGGCGTGGCGCTCGGCGAAAATAAACTTGCGCTGCGTAGGAAGCCAAAGAATATGTGTGGGAAATCTCAACCTTCTAGCTTTTGTAGTTTCTGAGATCTCAGCGTTCATACAGACAGACAGACGGACAGACAGACGGACAGACGGACAGACGGACAGACGGACATGGCTAGATCGACTCGGCTAGTGACCCTGATCAAGAATATATATACTTTATGGGGTCGGAAACGCTTCCTTCTAGCTGTTACATACTTTTGCACGAATCTAGTATACCCTTTTACTCTACGAGTAACGGGTATAAAAAGTTATTTATCCCGAGAGATAAACATTTCCTTATAAGTAGTTTTCTAAAACTTAATTTAAATTACAAATTTACAAATAATAAAAATATGCCTATATACTGGAATGAGTGCAATTGCACCTATAATCCCAATCCTAATGCAAATAAACTGCATTTGCAAGTGGAATAAATTTGCCTGGCCCTTGTTATTAGCAATTGCAGACCAGTTAGGCCAGGTGTCAGAAATATGTGACGATTTTATCAATGAGATTTATTGGCATTCGAGACGTGTGCCGTCTGGTTCTCCATTACAAGTTGCTAATGAGCTGACCAAATGGTCGTGGGGCAGGTCGAGCCTATCGAAATCCGTATTAAAATCCAATTTTAAAACACTTCTAATGTTAATTTATGACAAGTTTATTAATGTCAATTTTTTCTCATATTTCTGATTACTTTAAAATAAAAAACTGTACCGCAGATAACAAAAATGGGTTAAGTAGTTCTCTGAATTTCAATATTCCTGTGTTCATAAGAGCTACTAGTTATTCATTTAAGCAAATATTCGCAAAGTAATTCTAAGGAAATTCGAAGCTCCTTATCTAGATATACATATAACGAAACTCGAATTTCCCTCTAAAGAGCAGAAACATGGACTCACCTGGGGGAAAATTCTTGGGACGCCGCACCGAACTGATAAGTGAATAAATCACAAAACCAATTAGAATCGCGCACAAAAATATGAGGGCACTCATTTCAATATATATCTTTAGAAGACCACCGAAAACCGTCGTCCAAGCAAGGCTTTTGTTCAATTACAGGCTATTTAATGGGGAGCCAAATATCGGAGCGTCCGTACGCCACGCCAGCTCTATGCCAACTAATTCCGAACCCGAATCCAATGAACGAGAGAGGCGGACCCAGACAAACCCACGCGCCTGGGCTGCCGCCTTTTCATGTGGGTCTATTGATAGTGCAGGCAAAAAAAAAGAAACAAATGAAACAAAAAACGGGCGAAAAAGCCCGTCTCAGTTGATAAACCAAGTACACTCATGTCGGTATATGTGGTCGGTATAAGTAGCTATGTGCCCGAAGAAATTCGAGCAACGATCACGTCCAAAACGTGCTTGGCTAAGAACTATTTGTTTTTTCATAATTTACTGCGACCTCTCTTTTTCGACAATTCCGATCGCCAGAGAGCAATGTTGACAACTTGATTAGCTAAAATTAAGATTGTTCCCACGATCGCGCACTAAAAGTTCGAGTCATTCTTATCTAAGCAAATCTTTTTTTAAAATTTGTCCGTTAGTTTAATTGATGTAGTACAAAAAGACGAGCTTATCATTAACTATAGAGTCTGTACATCGAGATATGGAATTTCATCCGCCGGCGCCAGCAACTCGATACGGAAGAGGATCTTTGGAATGTACACAAACTTTGGATTGTAATTGTAGTATTATAAATAGATTAATCGGTTCCTTAAGGAACGTTCGTATGCCTTATAAGAAGACCGAGTTCTTGGCGATTATGTAGTCAATCTCGCTCGTCCAGGGATTTTTAAAGGCCCGCCACTCGCTCTGCAGCTGAATGTAGCTGTTGTCCTTGCACCGGAAGCGGTAGACCTGCGTGGTGACCTTTTCGGGCACCTGCATCACCATCTTGTGGGACTCCATCAGGGCGGCGATGTCTTCGTTGTGGAAATACTCGTAGAAGCTGGTGCCCAGGATCTCCTGAGGAAGGAAACCGATGACGAGGGTGGCACTGCAGGGAGAAAAATGAATATAAATGTTATTGGAAATGTTTATTTTAAAGGAACAAATAAAAGAATATTTTTACTATCTTGTCGCTGAACAAAATATTCTTTTTTAAAGTAGGAAATTTTTTACCCCTCAACATTTTTTAATTCAAAACACCAAAAACATATAAATTTTGAATAAAATTATATACATATATTGTGAGCTGTCACTAAAATGTCAAAAAGTCATTGTGTTGAAAACACGTTGTGTAAAAAACACGTCGTGTTAATAACACGTCGTGTAAATAACACAAATGACATGTGTGTGTTATTTACATTTGTTTCTTACATATGAAGGCTACAATTTTTGAAACACATGTCAATAACTTTTTTTGAACTTAACACTGTGACATTTAATATGTTAGGAACCCTGATTTTTAGTCATCTAGTTTTATGAAGTCATCGTATTTTATATTAAAAGGCTGATCTAATTACCTAAGTATCATTTCCGAAAGGTAGATTTAAGAATGGAAATTTAATGTTCTTCAACATCTCAGCATAGGATACAAAATATGTCTTACCGCTGGTCGATGAACAGGAACTTTCCCTCGCCGGAGTGCCGCGAAATGAAGAGCACGTGCCGAATGTTCGGGTGATTGTCCAGCGAGGGGGGTAATGTGGAATTGCGTACGTTGGGAGGGATACGACCTATGGCCACCAGGCAGGAAATATTCGTAGTATGCTCGTCGCTGTCGCCGTCCTGATCCTCGTCCTTGATTGGAGTCCACGACTTGAGGTATCCCGTACACTGGATGACCCGGTATTTGTGACCCGTGCTCAGCCGTGACTTGCGCTTCGTGGAGCTTCGGGAGCTGGACGAAGTGTCGGACTCCTCCTTGATCTGGTTGTTGTTGGCGGCGCGCAGTTTCATGCGGCAGAAGAAGGAGCGCCGGGCGCCAGGACAAAGGCGGCACAGGCTCTGCGGGACGTCGGTCTTTACGGGCAGCATGGCTGTGGGGGGAGGAGATCTTGAAGTATATGTTTTACAACATCTGATCACTCACTCTTGGCATCGATTAGCCTCTCCCTGGGACACTGTTCCAGCGAGGACAGTTGCTCCTTGACCTTGCCTATGTCCTTGGGGTGCAGAACGTCGAACCAGCTCTGTCCCAGCAGATCTGCCTGGGTGCTGTTCAGCACACTGGAAACCGAATCGGAGACGTACAGGATGCGTCCCCGGTCACAACCCACGACGAACAGGAATCCCTCCGAGGCCTGCAGGATGATCATCTTGAGCTCCTGGTCGGACAGGAAGCTCGGTCGGTAGTCGGATCCGTTGAATGGATGCAAGCTGCCGCTGCCTCGGATTCCTCGTAGATGCTGCACCGCCATCCGGAGCACCGTCAGTTTGTCCAGCTTCCGCTGCATCGCAAAGCACATGGGGATCATGGAGGACAGTTCGTTTATGTACGTATTCATCTTGTCCCGCCGCCTTTTCTCGATCTCGCTGTGATTTTGCCTATGGGAGGATTAAAATGATAAGGGATATATGAGTGATTCTTTGTGAAACGTATCGAGATTTTCTTAATGGTCTCAAAACGATATTTAATTTTTATCACAATATTACACCATTTAAAAAAAGAGTTTTTAAAAAGGTAAAAAAAATCCATTTGGCAGAAGCGAATCTGTGAGAACGCTTTTTTCTTGTTTAATTAATTTATAACTTTAAATTAAGTGGGGTAAAAAATAAATAAAAATACTCCAAAATTATAATTTTTGACAAGCTTTCACATAAAAATAACACCCACAATGGTTCCAGAGCAAAATATAGTCTAAACTTCATAATTATTTTTAAATGGTGTAATATCGTGATAAAAATGAGATATCGTTTTGAGACCATTCACAAAATCTATATCATATGTATGTAGGTTTTAAAATTCGAATTCCTCACTTGCGATTTTCATCCGAGGTTCTCGCCGACTTTTCCTCGTCGAAAGTTTCATCTTCGATCTCCTCTAGATTTTCGCTAAAACGAAATCGAATAACAGTGGATTAAAAACAACCCCGTTATTTGATAAGCCAGTGGGTGGGTTTCCCATGTAACGGGCGTCAACTGTTGCTTCCTCTTCCCTTCGTACCCACACACACTCACCTGGGAAACTTGGGTGTGTGCGTGTTTTTGCGAACTTGTGTCTGTGTAGGTGCTTAGTACATCTCGTTTTATGTAATGTGTGTAATTTGCAATGCACTTTTCCATGAATCTCACCTAAACTCTTGCACTTCCATCGCCAATCAATAACGGCTTTACAGGGCGAATTAAGATCTTTTTGCTGAAGACCCTGCGGTTTGTTTACTAACATTAACGATGCTGGCGCCCAGATAATAACATTCAAAACGGAAGAGTGTTGTTTGTTGCCGTGCCTTTTCCAGCCTCGGAAAGCTCCAGAGAGGCGGAGAACTATCGATGTTTTTAAAATATCGACAGCACAAAGTTTGGCGGGACATCATCGATTATTTTGAAATTATTATTAAGTTTGGGGGGTCTTTTTATAAGCCTAACCATAGGAGAGAGCGAGATGCAAATAGGCTTTCAAAATACCGTAAAGTAATTAAAGTTACAAATATCGATTACCAATTTATGATTCGTGGATTTAAATTCTCAGAAAATAGAGCGTTTCAACAAAGTAATAAATGAAAAACGTAAAATTGGCCAAACAGATTATGATTACAATAATTACCAAAACCCCATTATATTTAAAAAACTGTAGTTAATTTACAATGAATTAATTATGATTTTTTTTTATATATTTCAGCTTATATTTGATATTTTACAATATAATGTCATATATAAAAGCTAACACAAATCGAAAACAAACACAACTAAACTATTTTAACTTGTTCCTTAACTCAAGCACAGCTTAAATGTGATACATTTTATCCAAGCAAATCGTTATGACCTGCATGTAGCGATCCCAAAGACATCGAGTCTCCTGGTCCCTGTAAAATGTATCAAATGGCTTTTTAGGAAGAATACTACATATTTTTTGACTAGATCCCACCTAGATATTTCCAGATCCAAGACGCTTTGCGTTATGGAAGCCAGAAACTTATTCACTTGCTCCCGATTCCAGCCATTCTGACGCCAAGGATCAATCAGTTTCTCACAGAGATCGACGAATAGATCACGCAGCTCCCGATTGCGGTGCAAATTGCAGGCAATTGTGATCAAAGCGCGCCAGTACGACCTGCAAATTATAAGTTACAGCATTAAATATGAAGCTAATTTGGATAGAAAGCTTATTCTTTACCGAAAATTGCCATCAAGCTCGTGAAAGGCGCGCTCCAGAAGAACGGGTTTGAGGCGCATGCAGACGAGGCTAAATACAAAAACTATTCCATATCAGAGCTCTCGACAGTATTAAACTTTCTTACTGCTTAATTTCCTTTTCCTTGTCGAGCAGACAGCGCAGTTCCCTTAAATCTAGAAGAAACTCTTTGTCCATTTCGGTATCATAGTATTCCGGTCCAGTGTGCTGCAATCAATGAATTAGTTCGGCATGATATTAAAAAGATTAAGTCATGCCTGGTAAGTGTAGGTCCAGTAGATCATAATGGCGTGTGAGCAAGTGAGCAAATCGCTGAAACTTAAATACTGCAGCTTCTTCTTGGTGGTTTCAAACCGCAGGCAGGCCAGAAAAACTATGCAGGCATACTTTCTGCAACATTCAAAGGGTTAGTTATGTGGGCTATAAGGCTTATATCTATTTTCTACTTGGCCAGATCGGTGGAGATGAAGAAATGCTGCTTGATATTGTTGGTCAGCGTGCCCGGCATCTCCTCCACGGACTTGAATATCCGCTTCACGTTGTCAAACTGTCGTCTGGAAGGGAATATCATGATAAGATATGCTTTCTATCTATTGGATAATTTACCCACCGAACCGACTTCAGCTTGACGCACGTCTTTTCGGCCACCTCGTCCAGATCCTTGCGGTAGCGGGAAGTCAGTTTCTTTCCCAGTATTTCCCGGGCCACCACATCATCGATGGAGTAGTACTTCTCGGTGATTAGGTCACGCATATGTGGCTCCAGCTGGAAGCAGGATTGCTCCATCAGCTTTGTGGGTGCGTTCAAATAGAGCTCAATCAGGGAGTAGGTGCGGTAGTGGTCCAGGACATCGGAAGCAATCAGGTCGCTGGGAGCGCCCATCGAATGGCCGAAGCCCTTTTGTTTCAGATAGGAAACCGCCTCGCTGGCTGGAAAGGCAAATCGGAGGAGTCATTTTCGAGGCACCCTTGTGAAATACAGGAGAAATAGACATACAGGAGAATCCTTCGATCCATAACTGGTAGATTTCGGGATCCACAAGAGTGTAGTTGCTGATGAAGACATCCACATCGGCCTGAAAAGATTGAGTTTTTATCAAAGGGTGTCGAACACCAGATCGTTAAGATTTTTTACCATCTTATTTTTGGTAAGACCGTTTAGTGTTTACTGGCCCAACGATATATCGATGCTAGAGATGGGACATCGGCGGGGAAATATATATTTGATGTTTTTTTTTTTTATTTTAATTATTAAATTACATGATTTATCTAATTATAATAAAAAAATGTTTAAAAATATCTGCCGTGTTAAGGTAAAATATTTTTTATATGTCTCGTCTTTTAGGTTTCCCATGAAAATGTAATTATTTGCTAAGTCAAACCGTAAGTGCATTGTCCTAATCAAGTTTTTAATTTACCAAATATAAACAAATTAAACACAGATAAATTATCTGTTAAACTTTCGAATTACGAAATCCAGCGATGGGACAAAGCTAGCGAGCACGGAACACGACTATCGATAGGCGCCGATAGCTGGCGATAGTGCAACGCGCATGACAACTCTAGTTATCATGAGGAAGAAGAGGAGGATATCAACTTTTGGAGACGAATTTTAGTAAAGTTTAGGCTTAAAAAATGTAATTTGCAATGAACCTCGAGCTGTAAATAGGGCAATGCAACGAGAACGCGACCAGCGCGCAATTCGCATGTGATTGGTGAGCGCGGGAAAAAACGCGCATCGCGGCGGCAGCAGCAACAGAGCAGCAGCAGCAGAGAAGCAACAACAACAGACCTTTCCGTCCGTCGTCAGACGTCGAATAAGATATATCGTATCCAATTGCAAGTTGCAATTCGATGAACAATTCAAGTGCATTAACATTGGGCCGAAGAATAAGTGAAAGTGAACTGGCATTGGCATAACAAGACTATGGAACAGGTCGACTCCTCCACCGAGCTGCACCTGAACAGGAAAGATCTGGCCGCGCTGGCCGATGATGTTGTGAAAGAAGAGGTGATATTAGAAAGCCCGGGCCATCACCATCATCATCATCACCATCAGGTAGGAGGAAAAGCGCCTTTTTCGCTTTGGCGGGGTGGTTTTTGGTTCCAGACTGAATCTGAATCTGAATCCGAATCCGAATCTGGCTCGAAAACCGCTCCGCTTCGCTCTGCGCAGTTGTGGAAAGTGGGTGGTTGGGTGGTAGCGGGTGGCCTGGGGGTGGCCCTACGAACGTTCCATGCGACCCACTGGGCGCCCCACCCCCTCCTCCTCCGCATTTGTGGCGCACAAATGTTGTGTATACCGATTTTCATTTTTCCCATGCTGTGTTGTTTACTTACATTCGAATTTTCTTCTCCCGTTTCTTCGATTCCCGTGCAAATCGCATTGAATTAAAATCGCTGGACCATCACCCACATACATGTGACGAACGTGCGTAATATGTGCGCTATGGTAATGCAGTTGGACACCAAGGTTCGCATGGTCACATCCTCCTCCAACGACAATAGCGGCAGCGGCGGCGCCAGCGGCGGCGGAACGAGCGGAGCGGGCGGCGGAGGAGGCGGCGGCGGCGGCGGCGGCGGCGTGGTCTCGGTGCCCGTATCCCTGCCCATCGGATCGATGATAACCGGCACCACCTTCAATGTGATCACGCCCGACCAGCTGCCCCACTTCAAGCCGATGCTGTGCGTCGACAACAATGGCTATCTGTCCGGCAGCACGGTCAGCATGGGCAACGACCTCAAGACGATTGTCATCCAGCAGCAACAGCAGCAGACGCAACCCGGCGGCGGCAATGGTGGCGCCAATAGTGCGGGCACCAATACAACCGCCACCAATACGATTGGACTGAACCACGATGGCTCCGGGAGCAATAACAGCCACGACAGCCTGGCCACCTTGGAGCACGCCGCCGGTGGAACCGCCGTTGGCGGCGGTGGAGCCGGCGGAACGGGCGGTGGCTCCTCGGGCTGGTCGGAGAACCCGTCCACCCAGCACATGGAGGTCTTCCAGATCCGCTGCAAAACCACCTGCGCCGAATTGTACCGCAGCAAGCTGGGCTCCGGCGGACGGGGACGCTGTGTGAAGTACAAGGACAAGTGGCACACGCCCAGTGAATTCGAGCATGTGTGCGGAAGGGGCTCCAGCAAGGATTGGAAGCGCTCCATCAAGTACGGCGGCAAGTCGCTGCAGTCCCTCATCGACGAAGGCACGCTCACGCCGCACGCGACCAACTGCAGCTGCACGGTCTGCTGCGACGACGAAGCAGGTGAGTCAGGTGAGACGAACAACAATTACTACTCTATGGATGGCATGGCGGTCCTGGTTGATCCTGGTCCCGGGTTCGTCATGGCGTCACAAGTACAAGGGGATATGGGCACAAAAGGAGAGCTGATAGCAAGGATTAAGTCAACTTATAATTAGGGAATCCAACAATATTTTTTCAATGGGTTAAGATCCCTGTTTTTTGAGAATAACTAGAATATACTAGAATTTAGTAGCGCAAGCATTAATCAATATTCATTTAGATAGTTACAAATTTTAGTGAGATAACTTAGTATTTATTACTTCAATAACTTTTCTCCAAAGGGCTATGATCCCTGACTTTTGAGAGCAGTCCCTAGTGTTACATAAAGCTAAAATAAATTATAATTTTGTAACACAAGCTTTAATTAATATTAATTCGGTTAGTTAAAATTTTTTGTGTAACTATTAGTATTATTTACTTTAACATATTTTTTACTAAAAGAAAAATCAGTTTCGTTAACGTCTCGTCAGTTAATTAAAAGCAATTCAAAATTCAATGCAATTTAAAATTGATTGCTGTTCTCAACAAGTAATACATTTTTCTTTTAAAATAAATTAAAAGAGTAACTTGCTTCAATTGTTAATTTGACTTTTTTTAAAAAGCTCATTATTTAGTATAAATTAATTTTAATCAAATTAAACTTTCTTTTCGAAAAAAAAAAAACAATATTTTATTTGAGTCAAAACTGAGTAAAAAACCCTCCAATTCAAAATTGAATGCAATTTAAAATTTATTGCTGTTCTCAACAAGTATTGAAATATTCTTGTAAAACAAATTAAAAGCGTCATTTGCTTAAATTGTCATTTAGACTTTTTTTTTCAAAAGCTCATTATTTAGTGTAAATGCATTTTAATCATGTTAAAGCGGTCAAGCTAATTGCAAAGTTAACTTTAATTGCGAAAAAAAACCAACCGAACTATTTAAGTCAGAACTGAGTAAAAAACCCTCCTTGTCAGTACTTTCTCCTGCTTTGCCCAGCCCAATGTGCACTTCTACGAACATGAAAAGCATTTGTCTAACCCCCTTACACGCTCATCTTGTTTAGCTTCCGGCCCTGTCCGTCTCTTCACGCCCTACAAGCGGCGGAAGCGGAATCAAACTGATCTCGACATGGATTCTGGACCCAAACGCAAGCGCAATACCCATCATAGTAACAACAACAATAATAATACCAATAACAACAACACGAGCGGGAGCGGAGCCAACAATTGTGTGGACGTGACGGCCGCCGCTGTGGCAGCAGCAACAGCCAGCGTGGTGGATGAGAACAACATGTTCCTGGCGGAGGAGAACATCACGTCGAAGGACGAGCCGTGGGCAGCACTTAACGACAGCCTGGACACCTCCAACGAGCTGGTCGACCAGTCGCAGATGGGCAACACCTACGAACGGGAAACGTTTGTGGTGAACATCAACGATGGTTCCTCCATCGCCGTCCTGGACACCAGTCAATCGATGAAGAACATCGAGCATGTCTACTGCACCATGGTCAAGGCGACCAATGACTTCAAGCGCCTGCTCAACGACATGAAGCAGTCCTACGAGCGCCGCCTTGAGGTTCTGCAGAAGGAGCGCGACGCTGCGGTCAGTGCGATGCGGGTCCAGGTGCACGCGGACATTGACGACCCAAATATATCCGGCTCCCTGCACGGCAACGAGATCATTTCGGCCAAGAAGGTACATATTAATTGTGTGATGGGGTTGAGGTGTCCAAGAAATCTGTTAGAAAGTATCTATCAAGCAACACGCGGTTTATCAAAAGTCATTTATAATACCTACTACTATGAATTCTGCTCAAGTTCTAATAATTATTATAATTAGCCTCTTCAATACTTTTTTATGCGTCTATTTTTTGCCACCAATTCATTAATTTTGTAACATGGCCCAATATATATAAGACTTTTTAAAAATCCCTTACTAATTCTATATTCTACATTCCAAATAGTGCGCCAACTGTAACCGCGAAGCATTGGCCGAGTGCTCACTGTGCCGAAAGACGCCATACTGCTCGGAGTTCTGCCAGCGGAAGGATTGGAATGCTCATCAGGTGGAGTGCACAAGGAATCCACAAACGACAACGCAACAGGTCATGCTGTTGATCGACGATCAGTCCTAAGCAACGTAACGAATTGTACATACAAATTTTACTACTAATTAATACGATTATAGGAAGTTCCCCCTAAAGTCCCTACTTAGTCCACGCCCCCTCCCGTTCCCCTCAGTCCCCCATTAGCATGCCTGCATCCTCTTAGACTTATGTCCTATATTAATGTAATTCTTAACGTACATATAACTATATAAAGATATATACATTTTACTATTGAACGTAGGGCAAGCCAGCGAAAAAAAAGAAAAAAACAAAAACAAGCGAAACGAAAATAAAATAAAATTAATTAAAAAAAGAGAAAAATGTAGCAAGCGAAAATCAAAGCAAGTGCAAAGGCGTAGAGAATTAATTAAGCTACGATTTGAAAGTAAAGAAAACTAAACCGATTACTTGTAATTCAATTTAAATTAAATTAAATTAATAATAGTTGCAAAGCGCATAGCATAACTAACAAGAGAGACCCCAAAACATCCCCGCACCCCATTCAAAAACACACAATCACCCACAGTGAAAAAAAAACTAGAGAAAACCTAAGCGAAGATAAAAAAATTCTGAAATTACCATACATATTCGTCTATGTATACACTTTTCATTAGACTCTAAGCGCATAGTTAAACTTTTAACATTTTACCATTATAATTTTATGGATACTACTGCCCGTTACAAGCATCCAATAAAGATTTCAAACAAGCAAAAACATCCACAGTACGAAGTAAACGCAATCCGAATTCCAATTACAAATACGCCCGCACAGTAATCGAACCGAAATGTAAACATATAGCTGGAAATCGAAAATCAACAATTTACAGTTTGTTAGCTGTGTGTAAATGTGTCTCGTAGGGTTTTCCCCCATTTCTCCCGTTTGTAAAGTTTTTGCCTACGCCCCCAGCTGATGTAACAATTCTTATAGTCTGTAGTCTCCATATGCTAATACATCTATATATGTAGTATATATATATATATAATGATATCTTTAAACGACTAGATATATATTCCGATTCACGCACACACCCGACACGTACACAGAGAGAAACCACAGCCGAAACACACACACACCCGAAACACCCGTCACACATGCGACATATCGCAGATGCAAAGCAATTTACTTTCGATTTTCAGGCTCGCGCCTGAGCAAACCAATTTGAAATCTTTATTTTCATGTCTGTAATGGTTTCGGATGTTGCATTCAATTAAAACCAAACAACGCTGTTCAGATACACTGCAAAAACAAAACGAAAACAACCATCCATTCACACAGTACGCAGAACACAAATCAAAAATCGAGCGCAAGTGCAGATTAAGAGATGGCGAGAGGAGTGCAGATGAAAAGATCAACAAAATATATACATACATTTAAATGTACAAAGCCTACCTTTTTGTCGTGTTACTTTCTGGTTTTCTCAGGCTCGCTTATTTATTCATTAATTTTGGACGCCAAATTCAAGACACCAATTTAAGCCAAAAATCTGAAGCTTTGTATTTACATATATTGTTACACTGCTGGCAATTTTTCAACAAAAACGATAAAGGATACTTCCTCGTAAACATTTTTCCGTTATTATACCCGTTACTCGTAGAGTAAAAGGGTATACTAGATTCGTGCAAAAGTATGTAACAGCCAGAAGGAAGCGTTTCCGACCCCATAAAGTATATATATTCTTGATCAGGGTCACTAGCCGAGTCGATCTAGCCATGTCCGTCTGTCCGTCTGTCCGTCTGTCCGTCTGTCCGTCTGTCCGTCTGTCTGTCTGTCCGTCTGTCCGTCTGTATGAACGCTGAGATCTCAGAAACTACAAAAGCTAGAAGGTTGAGATTTCCCACACATATTCTTTGGCTTCCTACGCAGCGCAAGTTTATTTTAGCCGAGCGCCACGCCCCCTCTAACGCCCACAATCGCCCACTAACGATTTTAAAATGGGTCCTGCGCCCACATCTTTAACGATTTCCGAGAAGTATAAATGCAATTTTGTTGTGTATATTTATACCTATCGAAATGTAGAAGACATTTTTCAAATCGGACCATTCATTAAAAAGTTATACGCAATCAAAAATTATATATCTATCTCCCTCGCACTCCCTTTAGCTGAGTTACGATTATTAGTCGGGACACCAACCCGACACAGCATTCGCACTCCCTTTAGCTGAGTGACGGGTATTAGATAGTCGGGACAACAACCCGACTATAGCGTTCTCTCTTGTATTTTATTTAGAGAGCATCATCTCAGTATAGGATATTTTGTATTAGAGCCCTGCATGAATCAACATTATGCTTAAATATTTCTAAACATTTAAATCCCTTATGTCCACTGTATATATGTTTCGAAACATCTGGGAATGATTCAAAACATTGGGGAGGCGTTGCTTTTAAGAAATTTCTTAAGCTATCCCATTTTATGTTTTCTGTTAAAAAATGTTCTATAGGAGCTTTTCCTTTTTAGTCACGTTTGGAGACCGAATAGTAAGTATCACACTGTTGTAGATGTTTCGAATCATTCGAATCTTACTGTAAAAATGTTTCGAACCATAAAATGTCTCGAAAACTTTTGATTCATGCAGGGCTCTATTTTGTATGAAGAGTTTGGGGGTTAATGTCTATCAAGTTATTAGAGATCCGAACTGCCTAGTATTTTGGGAATCATTGGGGCTGTTAAAAATATATTAAAACATCGATTTTTTTTGTATATAACTGAATAAATAAATTTTAAAGTCAATGATATGGGGTGACAACTTTGTTTTCCAACGATAAAAATCCTACATTTTTTCAATAAAAAAAATAGCATCGATACGAAAGTTTTAAAAATATTTTACAACCCTAGAATAAACCGTAAGTCCTTTAAATCATAATCGTTGTACTGAAAAGGACCTGGGAAATGGGGACATAACACACGCTGTAAGTACTAAGGTCATTTTTTTTACTCCAAATGAAACGAAGCTTTGTACTTGTATGTAATTGTTAGTTATTATGCACATGTTTCATTTATTATTGCATTTCATGTTGCTGTGTAGCATTATTATCGAATTATCAGTATGCTTACTATTATTGTATTCTATTACCAAAAATAATTTCTTAAAACTTGTTTATTCGTTTAATTTATTTATAGGTATATTATCAATTATTTTAAGTTCGCATTCTGCAACTGCTCGGGGTAGAGTGTTTGCTATGTAATTAAATTTATACTTGCCAGCTGTAACTCGGTAACTTGTTCAGTAATTCACTTTTTTTTTGCTCAAACTACAATTACGTGGAACTTAAAACTCCAGCGGGAAGAGCTACAGTAGAATGCTTTAAATATATATTCGTATCCGTGGGAGGGGGTGGGGGATGTGTACATAGAACGAAACCGATATTTAAACATACTGCTGTTTATTTTGCTGTCTAGATTTGCGTTTGTTGCTATTGGCATTAGTAACTAATTTGTGTGATAGATTTTCGATCCGTTTTGCAATTGCGTTTTGAGTGTTTTTAGGTTTTACTAAGTATTAAGACTTTGTTTCATAATAAATTGATACAAAACATATACGTATAATTAACGTGCCTAAAAGTTATAACATTTCTCAATTGGCTAAATAATAAATTTATGGGTATTTTGCTGCTGCCCAATGAAGTAAACAATACATATATATATAAATAATTGCCAAATGGGTCCTTAATGGGGTTCTGGTTTACAAACACAACGTTTAAACGGTTAAGATAGGGGTTGAACAAAGCCAATGGAAGGACATGGGAGGATTAGTATAGCGTTTAACCTAACCCGAGGCGCGGGTGACGCTTTAAGCAAAACTTTTTTACATACAATACATCGTTTGTTCGCGTTATCATATTCTTCTTTTTGTTTGGAATCACAAATGTTAGCTAGTATTTAAATACACATGTGGGTAAGACATTCAAAAAGGAAAATGGGGGGGCTTTCGTTTAGCGTGGAGAATGCTCTTGGTGGTGATGGTGTTAGAGAGACGACGGCTGTGGTGGTGATAAAATGGGTGGCAAAGTGCGGCAACCTTCAAGCTGCTTCTGCTTCTGCTCTGATTCCTGCTCCAAATCCTATTCGGGACTCACTCCAAGTTTCGCACCTCGAATCGCTTGTACGTGTAGTTGATAAAGACCCAGTCCTTGGCAATCTCACCGCCCTGCGGTATGGGTGCCGATGCTGCAATGGGAAATTATAAACATTTTGTTTCCCCTTTCAGTTAGTGGTATAGTATGCTTACGTATCTCCAGCGACACATCGGGAAACTCGTCAAAATTGGACGTATCGTCAATTGAGCGCACCTCAACGGGTATGGCCGCGGGACGTTCTCGTATGTGCTCCCAGTCGACTCCCCGGAAGAACGGCACTGACTTCAGATCCTCGAGTCCTCGCTGGGAGCCCAGCCGGCGATCGGCCTCGCAGCAAAAGTTGATAATCGTCTCCTTGGCCTCCTCCGAGATGGGAATCTCGGGCGGAAATATCAGAGTCTCGCGCCAGTTCATCACCTTGCGATAGGTGTCCTGGGGATTGTCCGAGCAGAACGGGGGATAGCCCATCAGCATTTCGTACATGATGACGCCCAGGGACCACCAGTCGCAGGCGGGTCCGTAGCCGGTCTGCAGGAATACTTCGGGTGCAATGTAGTCCGGCGTTCCCACCGTGCTGTAGGCGAGGGCGCGTCGGTTTCTCTTCCACGACTCGGCACGTCGCTTTGAGTCCATCGGACTGCGGAAATAGATCGCAATTTAATTAACAATCCCAGGATGAGAATGGCTTTCTTCTTACCTGGCACATGTGCCAATAAAATCGGATGGTTTCGCCTGCGACAAATCCCGATAAAAGTCTGTCCGATGCGACTTCTTCAAGCCAGTGCAAAGTCCAAAGTCAGAGAGCTAAATGGTAATAATAATAATAATAATATAATTATAATAATATTAATCCCGCTCACCTTGAGATGCCCTCGCGCATCCAGAAGTAAGTTATCCGGCTTGATGTCCCTGTGTATGAAACCCAGTTTGTGAATCGAGTCGATCGCCAATGCCGTCTCGCTGATATAGAACTGTGTGCCCTCCTCGGATAGCGTGTCCTTCTTCATCAACAGCGTCATCATATCACCGCCAGGCAAGAACTCCATTATCAAATATAAGTTGACTTGATCCTGTAAAGTCAAGAAAGATATTATTAAGGTACATTTTTAGTATCTTGAAATCAATATTAGACGAAATTCTCTTTAGGGATGTCAGAAATATATCCCCTAAAAATCTTTTTATACCACTTACATCATTGTAAAAAAATTTAAAAAAATTTTTTAACTTAAATTATTTTTTAAATTTTTTTTTTGTTATGTTATTTGACTTATAACTACAATTGAACTTCGAATTTTTGAGATTTGACACATTTAGTTTATATTGCCAATAAAAAGAAAACTATTTTTAAAAATTTGTTGAAAAGCGTTTGTCTTATTGAAGTTAAACTGTCAACCAGAACATCCCATGAAAAACATATTAGCAAGATAGATATACGAAGTTTGTATTACGCTGACTAAGAAAACTTTTTGCGGATACGAAGATATCTCCTTAAAAACTTAAGCACAATTGTTGATTGCCCTATAATGCATAGAAAATGAAATGATAAAAATGCAAATAGCTCATTTCGTTTAGAGTTTGTTATAACGTATTTATAATGTAATCCTGACGAGTCCCTTTTACATTCGTAACTTTTGTTATCTAACCATTTTACATGTGTGTAACCATTCACTGTAGGCAGGTACGCCTGTGGCAAGAACTTTCACCGAGAAGAAGTGGAGGAAAGAGAACCGAGAAAAACAACAACAAAGCGACAGCGAGAGAGAGCGAGAGAAAGAGAGACGTGACCATATGATTGGCAAGGCGCTTTTGGCATTTGCACTTGTATTGGTTTATTGATTTTTTTGTCCGTGTTTTAACACAATTCTTTTGTTATGCGCGCTGCCCGCCCCCTTTCGTTGTTTTTGTTGTTGCAGCTGACGTTCGTCACTCAATCACTCACTCACCTGGAAACTGTAGTACATCTTGACCACCCACTGGTGATCGGCCTCGACGAGGACATCCCGCTCGGCGCGCACATGGGCCACCTGCTCCTTCTCGAGCATGTCCGCCTTGCGCAGCACCTTCATGGCGTACACATGTCCGGTGTCCTTCTTCTGGACCAAGCGCACCTCACCGAAGGCGCCGCGTCCGATGACTTTCAGGGCCTCGAAATCCTCGACGCCCAGGCGCAGCCGCTTCAGCCGAAGATACTCCGTCTCCTTTTGGGCATGCTGCAGCCGCTTCTCCTGGCGCTGCGCCTCCGAGAGGCTCTCGTCCTTCAGCTGCGCCTCCAGCTTGGCGAGGCGCTGCTTCCGCTCGCCATACTGCGTCACCAGGTTGCTGTAGTAGTTCTCTAACGTCACCTTGGCCTTGGTGGCCTTGTCCAGTGTGTGGTCGCTGAATCTGATCGAGGCACCGTCCGCGTCCTGCGTTCTGCTGCTCATCATCTAAGCTGTGGTCTTCTGCTTTCGGTTCGGTTCGGTCGTCTCTGCGTGTGTCGTGTGGTGTTTTGTGTGCTCCCTGCCCGTGGTACTCGAATGCGGTGTGTGTGCGGGTGTGTGGTGAGGAGTTATGCACTTGCCAAGGCACACACACTGCTTTTTTCGCCCGTTTCTTGCCTTTTTCCTCGGTAATTTGTTGAAATTCCTCCCTCTGCTGCTTCTTCTTCGAGTGCCATTCGCATTTTGCAGCCCCAACAAAGCGAAGTAGGCTGCGCTTCGCGGCGGGCCAATCGATAGGTAATCGATAGCTTTTAGAACAGGCAGCTTTTTTCCCGTCAGTTCTGGGGTTTTTAATTTGTTTGTTCTACTAAATTATTAATAGAAAATAAGGAAGTTTGCTTTAATAAAAATCTTTTATTATTTAATAATTTTTAAAAATCCACCCTTTTTTCTTTAAATAATAGCTCTTTCTGTACTAATGGTGGAATAAGTTTTCAGCTTTTCCCGCTAAAAGTTGATTTTCTCGCCAAAAGCTGCCAGCACTGGTCAGCCCACCAATTAGTAAATAAATAGAACTAAACTAACCGACTTGGCGGTGATATTTCCATGTTGGGCGTAAATCAATCAACGGGCTGTATTAATTTAGTCACTCGGTGCCTGTGACAGATCCGGACAATGATCAAAGTCAGCTAGTATGGCGCGAATCACGAGTATCCTGGACTTGGATCCCAGTTCTATATTGCACATTCTAAAGCTTCTGAGTTTGGAGGACCAGTTGCACCTGGCGCGTTGTTGTCGTCTCTTCAGGGACGCCTTCCTCCACCTGCACCGCCACCATTTCCAGGCGGTCATCGACAAGGACACCAGTCTGCGGTCTCTCGAGGATTGGCACACCTTTCTGTGGCTCTGCGGCGGTCGCATCCGCACTTTGGAGTCCCATTTCGACGACGATCATCCGCTGCAATTGCTGCCGCTGATCAGCAGGCACTGCTACCGACTGGAGGGCATCTCCATATTCAACGCCACGGTGGCCCGGGCGCAACCGTTTCTGCTCCGGATGAGTTCGCTGCGGAAGGTGCATGTGCGGAACTACAAGAGCACCAGCAAGGATCTGGTCAGGGCCATAAGGATTCACCTGCCAAGGGTCACTAGTCTCAGCCTGGAGAGCTTCGATCGCAGGGAGTGTAAGCAGTGTTATTAATATGGGCAATTCTCTGCTGTCGCACGCGACTTTCGAACGCTTTGTAGGTAAAAAAACCATCTTTCTGGACTTCTTTTCTTTTTTTCACTAGGCTCAAATTAAAGGTCTTGATTAGCGCTAAAATATGTGCTAGCACATTTTCGTTTTTAAGATATATAAAAAAAACCAAGAATTCCTGCTTAACTTTCGATTGTAACGAAACGTGAAGGAATATTATAATGCAGTTAATTTCATAGTGCTCCTTGTTCTTTCTTCTTTAAAATGTATTTGATTTGGTTACAAAATATTGAGTGCTTATTTTTTTATTATTATTATTATTATTATTATTATTATTGTCTAATGCTAACTTATAGTTAAAAACTATGAACTAACAGTGGTTTTATTTTAGAGCTATAGCAGCAAGAGGCCTTAAGCTCGTGCTTATTTTTTTATTGGCATCAAAGTCACTGTTTTTTCCGTCCTTTTTTTTAGGTGGTTTTTCTGTAACCTTAAAGTCAAAAAAACCTTTTAAGAGACACTTTAAAAATGACTTTTTTTGTCCATACAACAGGTATTATCCTGGAAAATTATCCAAGGATACTTAAATTACTTAGCTTAGTTAAGGATCCATCTAACTAGAATCAAATATCAGTGCAAAATCATATAGAAATATGTTTTTTTTTTTTATCAAGTTTCACGCTTTTTGGCTTGGTTGACATCCTTAGAGAATTGCCCATATCCTATTTAAACCCGAGATTTCCATTTAAAACCCTTTCGAACCCTTTCAGTACAAGAAGTGCGGCACTTCAGCGAGATGCTGGAACTGGGTCTGTACGACGAGGTCACCGCCTCGGAATTAGCCACCATTGTGAAACCCATGCGACAACTTCGCTGTCTCCAGATGCGCAACGCCAGGCGCTCACTGACCACCAGCAATCTGCGGATGCTGGCCACCAACTGCCGCCAGCTGGAGAAGCTGACGTTCAACGACTGCGAGGCCAATCTGTTGGTCCTGCCGCAGTTTGCGAACCTCAAGTACCTGCAAATATACTGCCCGGAGGATATGAAGACGGGGCTTTTTGGGGCCCTGGCCACAAGTCAGTGCTCCACGCAGCTGGAGTATCTCATTCTGCACCGCAAGCGTTGGATTGACGAGGAGCAGGCGCAGTACATCAGTTTTTTGAAGGCGCTGCGCTGGCTGGTCTGCAAACCGCGAGACGATCTCTGTGTTCGCCACCTTGCCGAGTTGCGACACCTGGAGTGCCTTTCGCTGCAGGCCGCTCGGGAAATCGGGGAAACGCAGCTCTCCCTGCTGGTGGCCAACAACGAGCGGCTGCGGTATCTGAACATCTGCTATTGCCTGGACATCACGGACGCCTTCGTTCTGAATACTCTGGGCAGTCTGTCCAGACGGGCGGTTCAGCAACCTCTGGAGCTATTTGCTGCGGCCACCGACATCAGGCATGACATCATGGAGCGGGTGAGTAATCCTCCCTTGGATATGCAGAGGTCCTTTGTTTTAATGTGACATTTCGTTTCTAGCTGCCCCACGATTTTCCACTGAAAATGCTCTGCCTGAACTTTGAGTGCAGCGATGGAATGTCTAGTGGCGAACATTCTTATGCCGACGAGCCTGAATTTCTTTGAGGCCTTGTTCGACCCACAACGAATGTTTCTTTAATCATTACCAAAAATCCAAACTAAATTATACATCTTTATAATACAGCTTTATTCGTGATCGTACCACTTTGAGTGGTATTCTTTTGTTATTGCACAACCAATGTATTCAACTTTTTCACTGCATAATTAAAAACAATTTTATCCAGATTACTAAAATAGCGCTGACTAAACTTATTTTGTTGTAGAACTATTTTGTATGAATCAATTTTTAAGAGGTTTTAATTTAGTAGTTACCATGTAACTACAATGTATTCAACTTTTTCACTGCATAATAAAAAACAGTTTTATCCAGATTACTAAAATAATGGTGACTAAACTTAGTTTATTGTAGAAAACTTTTTTAAAACTTTTTTATCAATTTTTAAGGGGTTTTAATTTAGTAGTTACCATTTTTAGTGGTATTCTTTTGTTATTGCACAACCAATGTATTCAACTTTTATTTATCCTGATTACTAAAATAATGCAAGCAAAACTTAGTTTATTGTCGCTTGTGGGGAAATTGGGTTTTGGCATTAACAACACTTTGAATTAAATTTATTGGTTTATTGTATCCTAGCGTTATAGGTTTTAAAAAATTAAGAATAAATACGCTAGTCATTATAGGGGGATTCCCTAAACTGTTGAATTGCTGAATTGTTGAAAATTCAACAAAAAATTTCAGCAATTAAGGGAACGACCCAAAACGGTTCCTGTTGAATTTTCAAACAGCTGTTATTTGTTGAAAAATTTCACGGAACTTAAAGCATGTAAAATTTGATTTATTATTGCTAGTTACTATCTAAAAGTGTTAGCAAGGTAAAAAGAACCACAAATATGCTTTCTAAGTTGATTTTAAAATAAATAATGCGTACTGGTGATACTAAAATGTTACAGAGTTGCCACGACTTTTAAAAAAAGGTGACAACTCTGGCTTTTCAGCAATTCAACAAAATTTTCAACAGCCCCGAGGCTGATGAATTGCTGAAATTTCTGAAAGTTGACTTTGTATGGAACAGCTGATTAACAGCTGACCAAAATTCAACAATTCAGCAATTCAACAGTTTAGGGAATCCCCCTTATGTGTTGATAATTTAAAGCTGACGAATTTTTTGTATTAATACATTTTTAAGAGATTGTAATTTTTTATTCGCCCCACTTATTTAACTTCGATTGGCGCAGTCACCTCATTCGCGGTCGGTTATCGAACTATCGATGACTCATCGCATTTCGCTTGCTTTTTCCTCCCATCACTAATATTTATGTTGTTTGTTGGCGAGCAGAAGAGAAAACGAAAATTCGCTGAGAAAATCCGTGTGGAAAACGCAAACAGAGGGCCGCCAAGATGCTGTCCATGCTGCAGGAGAAGCGTCCGCTGAAGCGCACCCGCCTGGGACCGCCGGACATCTATCCGCAGGACGCGAAGCAGCGCGAGGACGAGCTGACGCCCACGAATGTGAAGCACGGCTTCACGACGACGCCGCCGCTGTCCGATGAATTTGGGACGGCCCACAACTCGAACGTGAACGCCAGCAAGGTGAGCGCCTTCTTCACGGGCGTCCTGGCCAAGAAGGAGGAGCTGATGACGCTGCCGGATACGGGGAGGAAGAAGCAGCAGATCAACTGCAAGGACAACTTCTGGCCCGTTTCGCCGCGTCGCAAGTGCACCGTGGACGCCTGGTTCAAGGATCTCGCGGGGAATAAACCCCTGCTCAGTTTGGCCAAACGGGCGCCGTCGTTCAACAAGAAGGAGGAGATCTTCATCACGCTGTGCGAGAACCAGGTGAACATGCAGCGCGCCACCTGGTTCATCAAGCTGAGCGCCGCCTACACTCTGAGTTTCACGGAGTCGAAGAACAAGAAGCGCAGCATCTACGATCCGGCAGCCGAGTGGACGGGCAACATGATCAAGTTCATGAAGGAGCTGCTGCCCAAGCTGCAGGAGTACTATCAGCAGAGTAAGTACGCCCTTTAGAGCTACCTATTTGATACATCTCCTTTGGGTTACAGGTCATGACAAATCCTCTTCGAATGGCAGCTCGGCGGGCAGTCTGACTGCCTCGGGAAATGGTTCCTCTGGGAGCAATGGCACCACTGGCAGCAACTCCATCAATTCAGTGACCGGTGGAAGTGCTCCAGCAAACGTAATTCCCGTTCCCAGCATGGCCAGTCCTTTGCCGCCGATCCACAGCCCGGCAAACGGGCAACAAGGAGCTCCCGGCCAGGCCGTAGGTTCTAATAGTGTCCTGCCAGCCACAGGAAGCCTGGGCGGAGTGGTCGGTGGCCCAGGATCTTCAGTGGTAAGCGGAGCAGCCGGCGCAGGAGCTGCAGTGCCTCCGGGCTCCACCATTTCCGGGATTGGCAGCCAGTTCGAGGACAGCCGCAATGCACTGAAGTACTGGAAGTACTGCCATCAGCTGAGCAAGTACATGTACGAGGAGTCGCTGTTGGATCGACAGGAGTTCCTCAACTGGATCCTCGACCTGCTGGACAAGATGCGCACCCAGGCGAGCTTCGATGAGCCGCTAAAGAAACTGGTTCTCAGCTTTGCCCTGCAGTACATGCACGACTTTGTTCAGTCCGAGCGTCTTTGCCGCAAGATGGCCTACATAGTGGCCAAGAAACTGGCCCAGCTGCTCAACACGGTGGTGGAGCAGCAGGCCATCAAAGATCTGGACGACCAGAAGATGCAACAGGATCCCTATGAGATGGCGCTGCAGGAGCAGATGAGTTGTCCCCATCACCGGGACATTGTGCTGTATTTAAGCACAATTCTGCAGATCATCACCATCGAATGCCCCACGGCGCTGGTCTGGAGCGGAATAGCGGCCCATCGAGCGCCATCCTCGCTACTGGGCAGCCCTTTGGACCATCTGCCGCTGGCGCCCTCGGTGCTGCCAATGCCCACGCGCTGTCCGCGAACCAACCAGGAGATCAGGCGTCAATTGCGCTCCGCCGAATCGGATATTGTGCTGCGAACACAGCATGCCGAGCAGCGCTGGTTCGCCGCCAAGTGGCTGAGTGCCGGCAAGAATCTGTACACCAGTGTGCTGGCCACGCTGGACCACCTGGACACGCACTGCTTCGATCGCATGGAGCACAATAACAGCATGGACACTTTGTACGCACATATATTTCCCAGCCAAAGTGGCAGTCGCCGGCGGGAGGAGGATCACCTGGAACCGCGTCCGGCCTACGAACCCAAGCAGGACAAGGACACTGTGCGCATCCTTTGCGAGTGGGCGGTGTCCGGGCAGCGGTGGGGTGAACACCGGGCCATGGTGGTGGCCATTCTGCTGGACAAGCGGCAGATCGACGTGACCAGCACGGATCAACAGTCGAGTGACAAGGATGACAAGGACTCTTTGGCATCGGGAGCTGGTCTAATCGATGGCCTGCCCGTTTTCCAGCACGTGCTGATGCACTTCCTCGACCACGATGCTCCCGTTTTGGATGAACACGTGAGCAGCAGCCAGCAGCGCACCGAGTTCACCAATCTGGTCCAGCTTTTCAGCGCCCTGATTCGCCACGATGTCTTTTCGCACAACGCCTACATGCACACGTTGATTTCCCGGGGAGATCTTTTGCTCGAGTCCGTGCTGGTCATCAAATCGGGAACGACGGCCACGAAAACATCGCCGCCTCCGCCGGCTCCTCCGCCGACGACAACGCATGGATTTGATGACGACGGATTCGGCGGTGGCCTGGACTTTAAGCACAACGACTTTGACGATTCGAATGTGGACGATGATCTGGACAAGCTGGTGCAGAACATTAAGGAGAAGGGTCAGCAGCACGAGGCGCCTGATAGTCCCAAGATTGGCCCGCCAGGCGATGGGGAAACCTCTGGCTCGGGAGGCAGTATATCCCGGCACTACGTGTATACGAAGCACTTTCCCATTCCGCAGGATGATCCCAGCATGAGCAGCTACAGCAGCGAAAGCAATCAGCGGTATATTCTGCTGTTTGGAGTGGGAAAAGAGCGGGATGAGAAAAAGCATGCGGTCAAAAAGATGTCCAAGGAGATTGGCAAGCTCTTTACTAAGAAATTTAGCATCGATGTCGCAGCTGCGGGTCATGTGAAGAAGCATTCGCGGAATGAGTTCAACTTTGAAGCCACCACCTCGAAGTGCCAGCAGATGGCCTACTTTGACCAGCATGTGGTCACCGCTCAGTGTGCAGCGAATGTTTTGGAGCAGCTAAATGGATTCGCCCTGGGCAACAACAACTACCTGCCGGTGCAGGAGCACGTGGCCTTCCTGTTTGACCTCATGGAGCTCGCTCTAAACATCTACAGTTTGCTGGAGCTGTGCGATAGTCTGCTAAAGGAGCTGCCCGAGGTGGAGCATCAGTTGCAGCTGAAGAAGTCGAATCTAGTGCGAAGCTACACCACCTCGTTGGCTCTTTATATAGTTAGCATTCTGCGGCGCTATCACAGTTGCCTGCTTCTTTCGCCCGAGCAAACGCTGTCCGTTTTCGAGGGCGTCTGTCGCACCATTCGGCACGTGGCCAATCCCAGCGAGTGCTCCTCGGCGGAGCGCTGCATCATCGCCTACCTGAGCGACCTGCACGAGTCCTGCGTTTTGCTGCAGGGCAAGGAGCAGTCCACGGAGTACTACCAGCAGCTGCAGTGCATCAAGCGGTTCAAGGACATTTTCAACACCCCCGAGCAGCTGGGGTGAGTTTATATCGTAATTAGAGCCCAGCATGAATGGATTCAATGAATTATTTTGAATTTTTTGTTTTATATGAATTAACTAATTAGAATTTTGAGTTTAGTAGAATTGAATGAATTTGAATTTTGAGTTTAATAGAATTGAATGAATGCCATGAAGAAGAAAGGGCCATCATTTTGTGTTTAAATCTGCGTGAATTTGATTTACTAAGCAGTTAGCATTGATTTTTTCAAAATTTTTCATTTTTTGTTCTCAAAAAAAAAGCACAAAAAAATACCGTAAAATTCAACAAAAATTAAAAAAAATATTCATCATACATTCAATTCAAAATGAATTAGAAAAACATTCAATTTATTTCACATAGAATTGAATAAAACAAATCAGAAATTGTATGGCATACTATGATAAAACATAGAATTGAATGAATGGCATGAATTTTGAAGAAGAAAGGGCCATAGTTTTGTGATTAAATCTGCCTGCATTTTATTTACTAAGCTGTTAACATTGATTTGTTAAAAATTTTCAAAAGAAAACACAAAAAAATCTGGCAAATTCAAAAAATTCATAAATATTACTATTGGAAAAAGTTTTTTTTCTGAAAAACATTGCATTTATTTCACATAGAATTGAATTAAAGAAATCAAAAATATCATATAATACTATGATAAAACAAAAATTGAATGATTACGATTTGTAATTCTCCTGGCAAATTATAAAAATTCATATTAATTACACTATGCAGCATCAAAAATGAACCTCGATGAATGCTATATTTTTGGATTCGTTACGAATTCCCAAGTTAAACTGCGTTTTCCTAAAAGTTCGCCGACGCAAGGATTCTTAGCAAAAGGACCTCAAAGTTCGAAAAATGCAGTAATTGACCAACTTTGCGGAGCTTTCAGAGGCAAATGGATGCATGGCTTGGCTCGAAGTTAAAGTTTTTTAAAAGATACACCCTTTATCTTTCAAACCCCATACATAAAATAATTTTAGGATTTTTTTTAAGGCAGAAATAAATTCTAAAAAACATAGTCAAAAAACTGAAAAACATACAGCTGCGGTCAAAATAGTAGCAGTGTTGCCGCCTTGAGTTTTTAAAAGTTTGATGTTGTAATTTTTTCTTATCCAATTAGTCTAATAGTAAAATTATAATCAATACAATATTACCAGGAAAAGATCAATTACAACAACAAACTTTTAAATACACAGGGCGGCAACACTACTACCATTTTGACCGCAGCTGTATACTTTTATGTTTTTTGACTATGTTTTCTAGAATTTGTTTCTGCCTTAAAAAAAATCTTTAAAATTTTTTAAGTATAGGGTTTAAAAGATAAAGGGTGTATCTTTTTAAAAAACTTTAACATTGAATCAAACCATGCATCCATTTGCCTCTGAGAGCTCCGGAAAGTTGGCCAATTTCAGCATTTTTCGAACTTTGAGGTCCTTTTGCTAAGAATCCTTGCGTCGGGGAACTTTTTGGAAAACGCAGTTTAACTTGGGAATTCGTAACGAATCCAAAAATATAGCATCCATCGAGGTAAATTTAAAAAGCACTAAAAATGCTGCACAGTGTTATTAATCACTCATTCAATTCGAAATGAATTAGAAAAACATTTAATTTATTTCACATAGAATTGAATTAAATTCATATAATACTATGATAAAATACTATTCGTAATTCTCCTATATATATATAAACCAAACTAACTAAGATATCCTTTTTAGCCTTCCCCCACAGGGCTACAATCCGCAGTTGCTGCAGGAGCTCTTTATGGCTCCGCGACGCGGTGGCAAACTGGATCCTCACTGGCTGGGAACGCTGCACGAGTCGCCGGCCAACGTGTACAGCTTCGTATCGAACGCCTTGATTGCCGTTTGCCGGGAGACGGACAACGAGCGGCTGAACGACGTGGCTCTGGCTTGTGCCGAACTGACCGCCAGCTGTAATGTGCTGTCCGAGGAGTGGATCTACGCTTTGCAAAGCCTGTGCAGCGGCAGCAAGAGTCCACGGTATCCGCACCTCGGTGGACAGGTCGACATTGGGCAGGGCAAGACGCACAACGCTCTGGCGGTCTTCGTTTGTATCCTGGTGGCCAGGCACTGCTTCTCGCTGGCCGACTTTGTGAGCAAGTTCGCCCTGCCCACGCTGGCCCGTTCGGTGAGCGCCGGTGGAGCTGAACTAAGCGTGGATGCGGAGGCAGGTGCTCGGCTCACATGTCACCTCGTTTTGAAGCTTTTCAAGACCCTGGAGATCCCGCAGCCGGGAATGTATTCCGTAAGCACTTCGCCCAATCCTCTCCATGCCGTTGGCAACGATTTTAGCATCCGCTTGAGCTGCGATCGTCACTTGCTAGTTGGAGCCCACAAAACTATACCCATTGCCGCAGTGCTGGCCGTGCTGAAGGCGATTCTTATTGTCGTAGACAATGCGGCGCTGAAGACTCCTCTAGCTGCTGGCAGCGGTTCCTCCTCCGGCGGATTGGGCGGCGCCTTTGGCAGCGGCAAGCGCAGTGGCTTCAACACACCTGTACATCCGGGCAGCACGCCAAAGAGCAACGAGCCTCGGCCTGCGGATCTCAGCCAGATACTGGGCACCAGCGATCTCCAGTTGGGCAGCAGTTTGACCAGCGAACCGGAGGCATTGCAACAGCCGCCGGTCGGCGGAATGGAGCAGATCTCGCTGCTGGAGTTTGCCCAGGCGGTGCTGAAGCAGATCTGCGCCCAGGAGCACGTCCTCGAGAGATGCCTGAAGAACGCCGAGCAGCTGTGCGACATGATAATCGACGAAATGCTGACGGCCAAACAGGCACAGCGCGTGCTGCACATGATCTGCTATCCGGAGGCGGAGTTTAATATAATCTCTGAGTTGGACCAACGCTCGATGATTGTGCGCATTCTGGAGAATCTGGGACAGTGGACACTGCGCATTTCTTGGCTGGATTTGCAGCTTATGTACCGCCAATCGCTGAGCAACAACGCCGAGTTGAATGTGTGGCTTGACACGGTGGCTCGGGCGGCAATCGATGTCTTTCACATGGAGGAAGTGGTCTTGCCGGGCGCCTTGAAGGCCACGCACAAACCCAAACCTTCTACGTGGCTAGTGGCTCCACTGATCGCCAAACTGACGCCGGCGGTGCAGGGCAGGATTCTGCGAGTGGCCGGTCAGGTGCTCGAGAGCATGAACTACTTCTCCAAGGTGTCCAAGTCCGATTGCAATAGTTCGGGTAGCGGCGACGAGCGCGAGAAGAGCAACAGTTGTCACAGCAGCAATAGCTATGGATTGGGAGGCGTGGCCGCTCGAAACAAGAAGATGCCTCTGAATTACCAACCATTCCTGGGCCTCATTCTCACCTGTTTGAAGGGACAGGATGAGTACAAGGAGAACTTGCTGGTTTCCCTTTATGCACAGCTCTCGCAATGCCTGCAGTCCTTTGCCGAGGTGAGTGTTTAATAAAGTATATATAAAATATATATATTCTTGTATATAAGGTACTATGCGTTTTATAGCTTGGCTGATCAATGTAAAATTATATGAGTTACACTTAAAAAAAATGTATATAAGGTATATCTAGCCATGTCCGTCTGTCTGTATGAACGCTGAGATCTCGGAAACTACAAAAGCTAGAAGGTTGAGATTTTCCACACATATTCTTGGGCTTCCTATGCAGCGCAAGTTTATTTCAGCCGAGCGCCACGCCCACAATCGCCCACTAACAATTTTAAAATGTGTCTGGCGCCCACACCTTTAAAGATTTCCGAGAAGTGTAAATGCAATTTTGTTGTGTATATTTATACCTATCGAAATGCAGAAGACATTTTTCAAATCGGACCATTCATTTAAAAGTTATGCGCAATAAAAATTTTATATATCCATTTCCCTCGCACTCCCTTTAGCTGAGTGACGGGTATTAGATAGTCTCTTGTTTTTTGTAGAACTCACCCTTAGAGAGCCTTTTTTTACCTTTCAGCTGGACACAATCGGTGGCATTGATGAGCCGCAGGCCCGTGAGGAGATCCTCGATGCGCTGCAGTTGCGCTTCTCGCTGGTGGGCGGCATGTTTGAGGCCATCCAAAAGAACAGCACACCCACCACCGACTGGGCCATTCTGCTGGCCCAACTGGTTTGCCAGGGTGTCGTGGATCTCAGCTGCAACCGTGAGCTCTTCACCACCGTGGTGGATATGCTGGCCACGCTGGTGCATTCAACGCTGGTCTCGGATGACGAGCGGCACTACATGAACCTGATGAAGAAGCTGAAGAAGGAGATTGGAGAGAAAAATAACGCATCCATAAGGGTAATCCGGCAGCTTCTACCGCTCTACAAGCAGCCCACCGAAGTAAGTGGTTTTTAATATATAATCTGATTAGTTTGGAAACTAATTCTGTCTTAGGTGATTGCCTGTGAGCACGCCGGAATGGACACCAAGGGCAACAAGATCTGCGACATGGACAAGAAGCAGCTGCGCATTTCGGACAAGCAGCGCATTAGTGTTTGGGACATTCTGGAGGGTCACAAGAATCCGGCGCCCCTATCGTGGGTTTGGTTCGGGGCAGTGAAGCTGGAGCGGAAGCCGCTTACCTACGAGGAAGCCCATCGGAATCTGAAGTACCACACGCACAGTCTGGTGAAGCCGAGCAGCTACTACTATGAACCATTGCCGCTGCCGCCGGAGGATATTGAACCCGTGCCCGAGAAGATTTGCATTGTAAATCCTACTCATATTACAAATTTCCTGTTGGCATTTTCTAAAGACAAATTTCTTTATTGCAGAAGGATGAAATGAAGGCGGACACGCCCTCCTCGGTGGATCAGTCGCCCAGCGCTGTGGTGGGCGGCACAGGAAGGGGACGTGGCAAGGGAACGACCACGCGAAAACGCAAGCCCAAGAACCCAAAGACGCCGCCCGTCGTCAACACTCAGCAACAGCAGCCTCAGCTGGCGCCGCAGCCGCAACAGCCGCAGAATGTGCAGCAACAGCAGATGCAGCAGCAGCAACAGCAGCAGCAGCACATGCAACAGCAGCAAATGCAGCCCAATCCGATGGGTCAGATGCCAATGAATATGCCGGTAAGACAAGGAACTTTATTAAAACCAAAGTAACCAACGTTGAGAATATAAGAATGGCAGAAAAATTCAAAAGTTTTGTAAATAAAATTCAGATTTTCTCAGCCTTTTTAGGTGCTAAACCTTTCTACGCAATTTCTTCGTATATATCCTTAAACTAAAACCGAACTCTCTTCCACAGATGAATATGCAGCAGTTTGCACCCAATCCGAACAACATGATGCAGCAGAATGCCATGTTGCAGCAGCAGCAGCAGCAGATGCAGCAAATGGGCAACAATCCGCTGCAGCAGCAGCTGAATGTGGTGGGCGGTGGCAACGGGCAGCAGAATCCCCAGATGAACTTTATGCAGCAGGGACCGGGAGGCGGCGGAGGAGGCGGACCGCAAGGAATGCCGGGCCAGCAGCAGCAGTGGCACAATGCGCCGCAACAGCAGCAACCGCCGCAGGCGTACCACAACCAATATGCGCCGCACCAGCAGAATATGCAATGTAAGTCGAATTCTAGGGATTCGAATCCAGTTTGTAATCCTTTTCGACCTTTATTTTTAGCAAATCGCATTGAGAGGCCGCCGCTGAATTCCAACTCCAAGCAGGCTCTATCCCAGATGCTCCGTCAGCGGCAGCCTTTCCAGCAGCAGCAGCAGGCGCAACAGGGTCCCGGTGGCGGCTTCAATCCGATGCAGCAGCAGCCGCAGCCGTCGCAACAGCAGCCGGGTCCCCAGCAGCAGATGAATCCCCAGCAGATGCGACAGCAGCAGATGAACCCGCAGCAGAATCCCCAGACGGTGGCCGCCTTCAACGCACTGCAACAGCAGCAGCAGCAGAACGCCCAGCAGCAACAGATGAATCCCAACCAGCAGCAGCAGCAGCAGCAACAGCAGCAATTCATGCGCGGCGGCAACATGCGACCCGGCATGGCGCCCAACCAGATGAACCAAATGCAAATGGGCGGACAGGGCATGCCGCAGAATCCGATGATGCAGCAGCAGATGCCGCAGAATATGGTGGGCATGGTCAATCCGAATGCCAACCAAATGATGCAGAGCGGCGGAGCTCAGGGAGGCAATGGAGTGGGCGTTGGAGTGGGCGTTGGAGTGGGAGTAGGAGTTGGTGGCGCCGGCAACAATCCGAATATGGGCATGGGCGGCATGCCGCAGCAGGGAATGATGCAACAGCAACCGCAGCAGCAGCCGCAACAGCAGGTGCAGTTCCAGAACTTCCAGAATCAGTACCAGCAGCAGCAGCAACAGCAGCAGCAGCAGGGCATGCAGCAACAAGGCGGCGGAGCGGGCGTCGGCGTGGGCATGGCGCCCAATCAGCAGCAACAGCAGCAGGCCAACATGATGGGCAACTTTAATCCGCAGATGCAGCAGGCGAATCGCAACAATCCCGACTTCATGGCCGTCGCAGCCGCCGCGCAGCAGCAGCAACAGCAACGTGTTGGCCCCGGAGGAATGATGGCCGGCAACCGGAACCAGTACATGAACCAGGCGCCCAACGTAACCATGTCCAACATGATGGGTCCGGGACCCGGAGGAGTGGTCGGTCAGGTGCCTCCCTACGCCCGACAGCAGTCGGCGGGAGGCGGCAAGCCGGGCGTCTTGAACACGCAGCAACAATTCCAGCAGCAACAGCAGCAGCAACAACAGCAGCAGCAGCAGCTGAGGCACCAGCAAATGATGCAGATGCAGGGCATGGGCGGTGGCGCCGGCGGGGGAATGGGTTCGGGGCCGCAGCAGGCGGGCGGAGCCGTTGGCGGCGGCGGCGGGGGCGGAATGGTGCCGCAGCAGCAGAGCATGAACCAGCAGCAGACGCCGAACCTGGTCGCTCAGCTCCAGCGGCAGAACATGATGGGCCAGCAGCAGTACCAACCGCCACCGTACTAGATCGTAGACACTCTTTAGATGTAAGCCTAGTCCTAATCATTTATTTATCAGATGTATTTGCAATAAACGTACATTGAAAACGAGCTGGAGGTTATTGGACCCTGGTTTCGGGTCAATTTATCTTTATAATTATTAATTATAATGAAATGAAGGATATTTAAAAAGCTTTGGATGCAAATGCCAAGACATATGGCATATTTATTTCGGTTTTGATTTCTTTCAAAAGATTTTAAGCTAAAATTAAGAAGATGTTTCAATTTTTATTTTTAAAATTAAATTTTTTTATACCGTGTTTTATATAACTTACTAAAAATCTTTAAAAAAAAGCCAACCGTGCTTATTGTATAACTATATTTTTTTTTAATCTGTTTTACCCACAAAATCGCCATAAATCAAGTTTGAGTTTTATTTTTGATCACGACGAATAACTGTTATTTGCCAACTTTTATTATAAAACTCAAAAAATAACAGTTGTGCTTTGAGTTTTACTTTACGAATCCAAAAATAACTGTTAAAATGTGATTTTTAACATAAAACTCATAACAGTTACGGTCCCTGCAATTGCCTTTAAAGTGTAATATTAAAATTTAATAAAATATTTAAAATTGTTCCTTGATGCCTTGATAATAATGAAATGAGATATAAAAATCTAAGTAAAAAATTATCCTTAAATTGCCTTAAAAGTGTAATATTAAAATTTAATACATTTTTTTAAATTTTACTTTGATGCCTTGATAATAATAAATATTAAGATAAAAAGATATAAAAATAGAAGTAAAAAATAATTCTCAAAATGTTTTAAATTATTTTCAATATTTTTTTTTAAATAAAGTTTAAATTTCATAGAAAGGCTTTGGTTTGTCACTATCGCATAACCATCGCGATTTTGCACATCTCTAAACAGCTGAGCGCCGTTGGCTGCACTGGTGTGCGTGGGCGTTCGTGTGCATGTGAATTAGAAATAAAACATTTTTCTAACGCATATTTTGGACGTTTTATTTAATTAAAACTAATGTTTAAGCTAATTAATGCATTAGTTTAGCTGCCGCGAGTGAGACACCTGTGGGGAAACCGAAAAAACTCCAGTAAATCGCGTCCGTGGCACATTTCATTCATCGATTGGGTCGAAATTCTATTCGAAGTGCTACTTTTCACAGTACTGTTTGCAAGTGCTTGGCAAGAAGACGTGTTGTTTTAGTGGGTCAAACTCACTAGTCACCATATCATATATAGTTTAGTTCCAGTCGAGAAATGAGCGAGGTACCGGAGAGCAGTAAAAAGCGTCAGAAGACGGTGAGTACTAGAAATGTGGCCCTGGCCCCAAAAAATTAAGAAACCCCATGTTCCTCCAACTCTGTTTGAACAAGTGCGCCGAAAAAGTTTGACTGCATACTTTGACTATATTTAAACAGCCGTTGATTGTTTAACAATTTCTCCAGATCCCATCATTCCTCCGAGTTCTACAATCATTGTTTACGTTTTTCGACTAAATATATATCATTATGTTTTTCCATATGGAACCGGAAGACACGTAATGCCAGAATTCCCCTCTTAATCTTATCTTAACTTATGAGTATGTTTTCTAACACATATTCGCACTTGACTACCAAGAAGCATTAAATAGGTCAACTTTTATTTTGTATTCAGGCAATTGATAGATTATAAATAAATTAATTAAATTTACCTACACCTTATATACCAATAGTAAGCGAACATTAAAGCTTTTATAAATTGCAAGTTCGGCAGAAACGTTATCTACACTTGGGTATAAAACTGCATGCCTTGCATTTTACTACTGCAAGAGCTACTTTTCTAGTAGAGGTTACGACCGATTTTCATTCCAAAATCTTTACCAAAAGGGCGGTATACAATAAAAATTTTTAAACAGTGAATCATAAATTTCGCTCTTTGGAGATTAGTGGGAAACCAAATTTAGTACATTTTTATTATTGCCAAAAAGGAAAGTAATCAAGTGTCAAGTGCCTTATGCAACAAGTAACTATTTCCTTGATAACAACTGGTTACCACAACAAATGTTATTGCTTCGGCTGAAACAGGTTCATATTAGAAAGAAAGTCTTCCGAGAAAACTAAAGTGGTACCACTTAACAACACAAGTCGGAGGCATGAACTCGAATGGGCCACTTTGCAGCTGGCCAAAAGTAGTTGAAAACTTGGTCAACAACCCGGCATCGCATCACTTGCAGGTTGAATGACCACTGTGATAACTTAAAGGCAATATCTTCTTTCCGTGACATTGTTTTTATTTATTAATCGCATTTCTGAGACTGATTGACAACGAAAAAAATGTATTACATGAGCACTATGCAAATTCTTACAAAATTAGTATTAGTTCTATTAATAAATACATATGTTAGTACATATATATTTTTTTACCATTTATAATGCAGTTAATTTAAGAATTTGATTAGTAGAGAAAAATACGAAATACATTTTTTTCAATTCCATTTTTCAAAACTAGTCCCTTTGTTTATTTTTCTTACCTTACTTTCTAAGCTTTCTTAGGGTTACTATTTTGATTTCCAAGTAACAACATTTGGTTTTAATGGCTATTACTTTTATTTGTCATTGCATTACGTGGTAGCTTAATGGACATTACTTTAATCGTTAATAGTGATTACCTAACTATAACTAATGTAAATGCATGGTGAATGATAATTTGGTTTCTTTTTGTGTATCTAAAGTATTATAATATTAAAATCCGGTGAATTACAAATAAGAAATCCCCGTTTTGCGTTAAATTATTGTCAGAAAAATATTATTTATTTTAAGGAAGTGCTGACCTGTTTAGCTTGTTGTGAAGGCTATTATTAATATGAGTTAAGTCCCAAAATGTACTATTTGCACATACACGAAAAAGTATGTACTTAGCTGTTTAAACGACTGTTTACCTGCAATAAAAACAAAGCAAAGTAGAGACTCACTAAGAGGCGTTTATTAGCTAAACACCTCTATAAACAAGTTACCATTTGGATGTGGACCACCAGTGCCTAACCGTACTGCTCCACCCAGTGGATCTCTGCCAAGTGCCAACGTAGCTGCCTGGTTTTCTTCTCGGCTGCAGCCCGTGGAATTTCAGTTGCAGTTTTAAGCTTCGGCGAGAAAGTTCAGCGTTTTTAGCGGTTGACTTCGGTCCGAAAACTCTCACTTGTTTAATTATCAAAGAGTACATTGTTCGACTCCCGCTTTCTTTTCGCCTGCCCAGAGTTCGTTTCGTTTTGTGGAAAAATGTTTACCCGATGTGCCAATTCGCTTGGCCACTATAATAACAATAACAATAACACTGCCTGTGCTGCTTCCCCGAAGTGCTGCCTTCCGAGCGTGGAAAAACCAGAAGATGCGGTAAGATTCATTCGGAAGAAGCATCTTTATAAGTAGTCTTTTGGTTTCTGTGAATGGGTTTAAAGTGTTATTTTTTATCAGATAAACAAAAATTTGCATTGGCCAGTCTATTTTTTCTTTTATTTTTTTCAAGAATATTATTTTCAAATAAAATAAATAAGCTAAACAAAATGATGGACTATAATTTAGAATTCAGATTGGTTGACATTGCCTTGGCTATTATCTGATTTAATATATACTATTTTCAATTAATTCGTTTCCATTAAATAAAATAATATATGTAAAATATATATTATTCAGTATGTAGAACTTTTTGTGTGGGCTATTATCTGATTTTATGCCTACATATGTATGAACAAGTTACATACATACAATTTTCCATTCATTTACTGCGTTCTACCTGTCCAAAGGGCAACTGAAATTAATATTGATTATCATCTTAATCTAAATTTTTCTAGGTTTCTTTATTTGGAATTCAAATTTATATTGAATTGCTATTTCCAAAAACCTTTCCGCTTGACATTTGCCCTTTGGCCATATTAGAACTAAGATACAAGTGATATTATGAGGTAGCAGCATATCAAAAAAGGGGTAAAAAGTCAAAGAAGAATGGAATTAATATTCAAACAAACGAAGGAAAGACTGTGCAAACATTTTCTCCATATAGAACGGGAGAATGTAAATGATGCGTGCGTGGATCGCCGATCGAGAGATCAGGGCGAGATGAATTCGACGGACTTATAGCGATCTCTCTGCGTCTCACACTCTCTTCGGGTCTCATTCTCCAGTACCTTTGAGACCAGAGCGCGCCATATAATACCATAAATATTATTGAAAACTTTCAGTTCGCTTTCGACGCTCGTCGCGTGTCTATGACAAAAACCTTTTCGCATCCGTGAGTTCGTTTCCAACGCAATCTGAATCGAATCCGTACCGCTATCAGTGCTCAATGTAAAAGAGTTCAGCTACCAAAACAGACAGAGTGAAAATAGGAACTACTTGAATTGCATTTCTGAAAACTAAATAAAAAATCACATTTAAAATGCCGAATCCGCCTATTGGATTTTATCCCCACATTAAGAGAAGGGTAAGGCTAGGAAGGTTTATACAAATTATATTTAGCTTAGAAAATTGTTTTCGCCATAAATGTTTTCGTAGAGATAAAGCACAGATAATAAAAAAGATAGAGAGACATATAACCTAAATCATTGTGCCACAAAACACTTAAATCTAAATTAGCCTGCTCAGTAAGCGTGAACCAGAGATGATGGTCGGTTCTATCCAAGTGAGATCAGCGGGAAAAGAAATACATAGAAGTGACAATCTAGCACAGTGACCCACTTCTAAACCACAAGTTAGAAATGCAAAATTGATAAGATAGCAAATATTAAAAAGGCGTATTATAAAAACTAAAAAAAGTACGTTTAAATATTTAAATTATGTGATTAAACCTTCAGTACTATACCTAATATTTTGATAAATATTCGATTTTCAAAATATAAACCAAAAGTAAATTTGTAAAATATGGAATACCTGTACAAAATATTTTGAAAGATAAATAATATTTTAAATTATGAAATTGTAAGTGCAGAAATTAGAAATGGCCATGTGCAAAATCAACAGGGAATGGCAAAATATCTGCAATCATTTCTTTTTGCGATAGAGACCCAGTCCCTTGGGTTTGCCCATATCGCGTAATTCCATTCGCGATTCTGCACACA